TTCTTTGCCTGCCGGCACAGTAGCAATGATCCGATTATATCTCAGTTCCCGCCGTCTTTGGTGGTGAAAATTCGAAATATTTGGAATTATTCAAATTTCGTGGCTGAAAACGTACATAGTAGGATGACCCAAAAAAAACGAACCGTGGAGATATTGGGTTTTGATGGTTTCGCCTTCTTTAGAATTTTACAAATTTCTTGTCAGGTCTCTTCTGCATGCATCAACTTGACTCAGAGATCGCAATGATCCTTCACCATTGGCAAAAACTTTTTCATTAGATTTTTGGTATCGGAGAACATTGTTTGGTTACATTTGATACTGTTTTAAAAAAATTGAACTTATTTGAATTATCGTAGTAAAATTAGGGGAGCTGATAAAATATACATTGTGTCCCAATATGGTAGAACAAAATTCATATTTTTTTACCAGCTGAAATTTTAAAAAATCACTGAAACAGATGAATTAGTAAATAGAAATTGTCACTTTTCTGCAATATTTTCTATTTTTTGAGACATGTTTGACAGACCTATAACATTACCGACATGTTTTTTAAAAGGACGCTCTATATTTTATAGTATAAATAAAAAGCCCTTCTAAAGACGAATTCAGCGATATAAGGTTATACCTACTTTTTTGTCATAGTTGTCAAAAAATTGAGGAATTAAACGAAAAATAATAATTTAGTAAGTACTACTTTTTATTTTATTATAGCAAATGTTCAAAGTGGGCCCCACTTGCACAATGTCTAATTCAGTGTTCAAAGTGAATAATTACATCGTCCTATTCAAAACATATGTCGCTAATGTTGTAGGTCTGTCAAACATTTCTCGAAAAATAGAAAATATTGCAGAAAAGTGACAATTTCTAGTTACTAATTTACCTGTTTCAGCGATTTTTTGAAAATCTGAACTGGAATAAAAATATGAATTTTGTTGCATCATTTTGACACACAGTGTATATTTATTAAAATTTCATGTTAGTTGGTATTAAACATAACAAGTGACTAAGCCCGAATTCTATTTTACCATGTTTATAACGAAACAATTAACATCACACGTGTCTAATGAGTATTACAATTACTTGCACAACAATCTAGTGGAAAAATTTAATGTTGTCCTCTTCAAAATGTCCACACACGCAAATAGCCATTTATTTCGTTATTTATCAAATTAATTTGCAGTATAGATGTACGTTTGGTCGAAACATAAGACATAGTTTATTTAGTGACACTTCTAACAATGTTAATAAACAATTCCTTCTATTTAATTACACAGGCCAACAAGGAAAAAATTCCAGAGATCAGACACTACGTTTCCGAAGGCATTTGGCGCGCTGAATCCGAATCTGGCCTCAGAATTGATCCATCACCCTAGGTTTCCGAGATATTCTAACCTAAAAGTGCAAAAAACACGTATTTTTGCTATTTTCAAGGTTATGTAACTTGGCGAAAAAATTTTTTTTCTCAAAACTGAAAATATCATTGGAAACTACTATCTTTCCCCTTCAAAACGCATTTTTTTATTTGTAAAAAGCTTTATTTTTCGCGGAGATATCGTCGATTAAAGATGATCAGTATAGCTTCCTTATTAAACCATGGCTATAACACAATATCACTAAGCGCTACGAGCCTTAGAGGGCTCGCAGCGCTTAGTGTTATTGGGTAATAGGGCTTGAAGTTAACCTTCCTGACGATTAGGGCTCACAGCGCTTAGTGTTGTGGGGTTATAGGGCTTGGGATTAACCTTCCAGACATATAGGGCTTGGGGTTAACCTTCCTGACGATTAGGGCTCGCAGCGCTTAGTGTTATTGGGTTATAGGGCTTGAAGTTAACCTTCCTGACGATGAGGGCTCGCTCCGCTTAGTGTTGTGGGGTTATAGGGCTTGGGGTTAACGTTCCTAACAATTAGGGCTAGCAGCGCTCAGTGTTATGGGGTTAGCCATGATGTAATAATATAGCCATACTGGTCATCTTAAATTGACGATATCTCCGCGAAAAATAGAGCTTTTTCCAAATAAAAAAATGCGTTTTGAAGGGGAAAGATAGTCGTTTCCAATGATGTTTTCAGTTTTAAGAAAAAAAATTTTTTCGCCAAGTTACATAACCTTGAATATAGCAAAAGTACGTGTTTTTTGCACTTTTAGGTTAGAATATCTCGGAAACCTAGGGTGATGGATCAATTCTGAGGCCAGATTCGGATTCAGCGCGCCAAATGCCTTCGGAAGCGTAGTGTCTGATCTCTGGATTTTTTTTTTTTGAAATTTTGTCGGCCTGTGTTATTTTTTCTGATACTAATGGCGTCTATGCCATTTTTGTAATATGATGCATCAGGAACGTCATCCTTTTGAATAAATCAACATATTTTGCTCCAACCAGGTTCTGCTATATGTTGACATTTTCGTAATAGCTACTTGTATACCAAAAATTTTCTCGGAGGGATAAGAAATCAGTGATGTAAGACACAAATCAAGGTTATACTTAAAATATCCGTGAAAAACATACTTATTCTCGAGTAGGTATATTTCCCCAACATTCACCTGCATTATTTCGCTCATCCTCTGCCACCCTTTTCCATCTGTTGTTGTATTCTTTTACCTCTTCTTTCCGCCATATATTTCAACCAATTCCAGTTCATATTTTTTATTATATTTCTAATTGTAGTTTTCATCCATAAGTCATTACTAACGACAATGACGTTGGGACAGAAAGAAAAGGTTACAATTTTTCTTTCATTTGTAGCCTCAATCATCAGCACGGACTTTACATTGTTATTCAAATATTTTTATTTTTGCTTTCATACTAATTATCATATTGTTTTACATTTCAAAGTTCTATTGTCTGTTCTAGCAGAACTCCTGTATCTTTTATTTCTTCTTTATCTAAATTCAGTTCTCCCTGATTTTCTCTCAAGTTCAGAGAATTGTTATCTTTAATTAATTAAACTATTAGCTATTAGCCCAAATTTCATCAATCTACGGCAAGCATCTTCACTTCAGAGAAACGTTAATAGTATAAATATACTTTTTAAAACTTCAACACCTACCTCGAAGATCATAACTTCAAATTCTTAGGTCAATAAGGCTTTTCCGTCTGAAAAATTAGCCCAATATTAATTTTTTATAAAGATAAAATAAAATCAACAGCCAGCGAATAAAAAATATTTGGAAAATGTATTTGTATAACAGATCGACTGTTATAAATTAAGGTAATTCCTATGCAATGAATTAAATCCGTTTCATAAGATAAGAGAATTGAAGTTAGTTTTGCAAATAAGATATATTAACTAAAGGCAGAAAATCCAACATTAGCAAATGTAGTAAACAATGTGAGATAATTATACTCGTACAACCATTAATTTTATATTTACAAACGAATATATTTTACTTTATGATGTAATGATTACCACTGGTTTTATATCAGGTGCTATATAACAGGTAATGCAATTTTAAATAGCAAATTACCTTTTTAAAGTGCAATTAGCACCGACTAATAGCCTATTCTTCAAATAAACTGCTTTGAAACATTATTCAGTTGAATAAAAGTGAGTATGAATTCTCAAAATACCTAGAATACATTGTAATTTTCCAGAAATATTTATCTTTAATGATTCTTTATACATTGAGAAAGGAAATAATTTTTAGGAAACATATTACAGTTTTGAGTTCCATTTCGATTTTCTCCTTTTTCGCACAATAAATTACTACTGCTACTATTATCAAATACATCTTCAGTGGAATAAAGAGATTGATTGAAATATTTTATCTTTTCAACTGTTAATATTGGGATTTGCTGAGAACCAATTGAGTTTGTTGCTTGTACGAAATGTTAATAAAATTAGGTACATTAGTTAGTATTTAATAAACAGTAATAATAATTTTTCATTTCTCTGAAACCATATCTGACCGCTTTTAGCCATATCCTTTCAGTTAACCATTTCCGTTGCGATAGCTATTAGGTATCCTTTGCCACGATTCATAGAAACAGCTCCATTATTCAAAAATACACACAGGAAATATAAGAATTAGGTAAATTATAACATATAAAGTAACTTCTGTTATATAAAACAAAATCCAGGTTCTAGAATCGGCATCTGCTACTAATAATTCGCAAGGTCTTCTTGACGCTGTTACATAGCTACTTTTTCGGACTTTGGAAAAGACCATGATTTTTCTGGAAAACTGTTGAAGATAAGTATGGACAACCTTATATCAGTCGAAAGGGCATTCAATTTTGCATTCACCCATGACAATTATTATGGGTCGTTCCATTTGAATAAAAAAAGTTTTTCAATTCGTAAGATTATTAAATGAAGGTCTCAGTATTTCCGGGTCTGAACAACGTATACGTTTTGCTCACAGATGACATGTAATTTATGCCAAAACGAACTGTGAAAACTGCAGGTTTTTAAGTCTTACTGTTTAGACGCTATCTAGCCTCATTTATGGAGCTGAAATTGTGTTTTTTTTTTCAAAAACAACTGATTACCTCGAAAACGGTAAGTTTTAAACATCATGTACATTTAATAAACTTTACCTAATATTAACCATGGAATTGAAAAATGCAATAATATACAGGGTGTTCCATTTAAAATAACAAAGTTATGTAGATATGTTATTTTTGTGATAGGAACATGACTCTAATATAATGCTGACCAATCTCGGAATCTCGTACGTCATAGAAGACCGCCGGATTGCATTCTAATATATAGAATCGACAATAATACAATGAAATGCTAAAAGTTCTATTTGCATAAAGATTACCTTGTGTGTGTATTCATTTGACAAAATTGACTTCTCAACAAATAAAAAGTCCACATCATTATTTTTTATTTGCCCGCCGCTTTTAGTGTGAGATTTTCATATAATAACCATAAAACTGTTCGATCTATGTTTAAAGTAAATCACAATAGACAATATTTTAGACAGAAACGGATTGTTTGAGGACCTGTGTTCATATTACCTTGTGTGCAATTTTTTTTATTATGTCGATCTTTTTTCTCAGTTTTGGATCCACCCATAAACAGCAGTGTATCGCCAGATAAAACAGCCGCAGTTTTAGGCTGGACGAGCCAACAGACCGACTTGAATTGCCTTCCTAACGTAATCGACGTCTATTGTGAGGCTCTAGAGGATGAAAATATAGAAGGGTGGCAGTGGATAAAAAAAAACAGTTCAGCAAACAACACTATAAACATTAACGACGCCACTAGCGTGTATGTAGAGGAACTGTCAGAGTTCACCAACTACACGTGTAACGCTACTCTTTCAGATGGAGTTAACACCAGTGAACCAAAAGAAATCAAATTTCGAACAAAGGAAGAAGGTAAATGTTAAAAATCTTACTATAAAGTTCTTGTCGAAAATCCATTGTAATACTGAATAGCGCTGAGTGAGATGGGGCAAATCCACTTTAATTCGGTATAAAGATTTATACTAGTTTCTGTTGTTGTGGCATCACCAAGGAACAAGAGAAAGAAAGCATTACAAATTGAGGTAAATGGCAAAGTAAAATTAAAACATCTAGTTCAACTTGCTAACAAAGATCTTATACTATACGTATTTGAATAAAGTAACAGTGTAGTTTTCTTCAATTTGTATGTTCATTATTCTTGAAGAGGAAACTAAAAGACTAATATGTGACATATCTACTTACAGTTCTATTTAATAAAGCATGAAGAAAGGTTGTTGGATTGATTTCTTTAAAATAACTAGAGTCATTTGTATCCACAATAATGTGGCATTAATATTGTCTATAATTGTAAACATGTTGCCATTATTTGCGTTCTATAAAAAAAATATTTGAAACCGTTATTAAATATAGATGGAAAACTAACTTCTTACTTGGAATCTAAACAGTTGTTGTTTAACTTGAAATACGAATTTTAAAAACACAGATTAACAATAGTGCTATTGCTAACTTAACTGATGTTACTGTTGAGAGTGTCGAGGCACCAATTCTCTGAGACTTCTGCCAATTTCGCTTCTGACTGAAGTCTGCATCTTCAATGGTTCTTAATATTTGATAGAACCCTTAAGAACTGTTTTAGAGAAACAGGTATTTTTGTTTGTTTTGACGAGAGGAATCAGCTTTGAAAGTTTTTCTAACATTGCTGTTGCACAAATACTTAATTATTCATAAATAATAAAATAATAATTCATCTAATCAAATTAGGCTATAGTAGTTGTTTATATCGACAGCGTATCTTTTTGTGCAGAAAATTTAAGATCAGAAAAAATGTCTTCGTCTATCTAATCTAACCTAATGAGCACTATTTCATATCAAAGTATTTGGCTACTAACCTTTCATGAGATAATTGTTAGTGTAATCTCTTTGATAAGATTAATTTCGATAATACAAACCAGGAAAAACATTAAATGAAAAATATATTTATTTTGAGTCATTCCTCTTATTCTTACGGATTTTTTTTTAATTTCGAAATAGCAATATTTAATAAGATAAAAATAAAAAGTATGTCATGAACGATTGAAAGTTGTATTGATTGGAGTTACTATATAGACATATTTAGAATTAGTTATTTTCTATTAATGGTAAAAGGTAAACGATATCGAAACTGTTAGGATGTAGGATATAGAACAGAAAACAAAAACAGAACAGAATAACGTATAGGGAAATAGAATATGATTTTTTTTATAGTTTTTTTAATATTTTGAGTAGACATATTTTATGAAATTATACAAAATAAGAATTAAAATTTTTATTTCAATTTAAAATGATATTTCTATTCTTTCTATAGTCAACAGAGGGAAGAGATATGTTTTTACACCGTAGCACACAAAAGTTAAGCAGCTTTTTTAATTCAAATCTACACTTTATAAGTACAATAGCAGCACTCCACGCGTCAATCATGGTTTTAAGATAATTGACGTTTTGTATTTCTTGGTATGTCTACATTTGTGACAAGCTTTAATAATACGGAAATATAAAAATGAGTCAATTTTTTAATACTGCAAAAAAAAACGATATTATTTTCTAACTTTTAAATTGTGCTTGGATCTATTTCTATTTGTCAAATAAATGATATTCAGATTTTGTATGACGCAAATGCTCATTCACATTAGTAATTTATTCAGATTAATGAAATATCAAATTTAGGATTTTTTGTTATATTTCTGTCAAAACTAATGCCAAACATCTACTGACAAGAACAAAAGCGCCGAAAGTTAGCTTTTATTCATCCACAGTCATCGGAAAATGATTATCATTCTCTGCTTTGTAAATCGGAACCAACACTATTATCCCTAATTAAAACAAACAAATTCTTAAATGGTTTTCTGTCCATTGTCCATTAGGTACTGTTGGATATTATTAAAACTGGTTTAAACAAGCTAAACTGTTAATGTTTAGTGGCGGATATAAATTTTGAAGGTACAATTTTTCCAGACATTTTCCTAATACGAAATTGTTTCAGTTCCAGAGACACCTGACAATTTGACGATAACAGAGAAAACGAGTACCAGTTTCACCGTACAATGGGAAAAGCCGACGAAAAATCCAGGCGTATTTATAACGTATCATGTTCATGTTGTGAGTGCAGGTACTAATCACTTCATACCAGAGAGTTGCGAGCTCCAATCATATGACCAATGGAACCAAACAACGAATGAGACGTACGATTTTGATGAAGCAGTTCCTGACTACATATACGAAGTTACAGTCTTTCTTGAAAACTCAGCTGGAAATGGGAGTCAAGCGAGTATCAACATTACCACAAATACCTCAGGTACAGTTATTTCCTTGCCGACATGTAAACTATAGGAAGATACTTACTTTCTGTTCTACTTTATTATCATTTTAAGTACATGAAACTACCACAGATCCTTGAAACCAAAATTAGAGGGCACTAAAGTTGGCGAAAAATTTTATTCGCCTTCCAAATTAGTTTAAAGGTTTAACATAACGCTAACGGAATTTCCAATTTTTTTTTCATTTTTAAAGAGCAATATGTAATTGTTTTCTGTACATCGTTCGTATTTCTAACGGTGTTTGCGTAATTAATTATTTTATTACTCATCGCTGACACATTTTAGATACTATTCTGATTTATCTGCGATTATTATAGACATGAGATTTATTTGATAATAAAAACAAAGTGGAATTCAGAAATCAGTAATTGCTCTTTCAAAATGATTAGAAGTGATGATACCCATGATTACTATTTTAGTAACACATAATCCAATCCAAAAATAAGTTAATGGCACTCATTCTATCTCTGGGTGATTCTTGTTTAAGGATCATTAAATTAGAATAATTCGATGAGGAATAGTTCATCAGAAAAACTCCTCACAAAATGCACACCATCGCTATCTTTAGTGGGATTCCAATACCGCTAACTTCTCGAAAATTTTATTACGTTTAATATAGCAAATCATTAAGTGGTTACACAGAATTTTTACGGTTTTTTGGTTTAATTTCCATTCAAGTGTTTTAGTTTGAAATGATACTGACGTCAAACGACGATCCCAACACATGTTGAGGTGTCGACACTATGTCCTGTTCTCAGGCTGTCAACATAAGGAAGGAATATGGGACACACGTGCCACTATTTAGACATCTCATTGTTCGTAAACATGCACACTCTAAATCAATTTACCATATGACCCAAAATTTATACAGCAGAATATGAAACACTGATATGTCAAGAAATTTTCTATGATCAAGGATTAAAAAACTCACTGTAAGGAAATGTTACACTAATAAAGAAAAAAGTTGTCAATTCATATTTATTATATAATGTCCTGCTCCTTAGATTAAAAATTGGCCAATTTATTCTCCTATATCCAAAATCACTTCGTTTGGCTGCTAGATGTCTTCCTAGAAGTTCTTAAAAAATGTTGAATTTTGAATATTTTTGATGTTTAGACTTGCTTTCAATTGTAACATTGTTTTATACAGTGTGGGTATTAAAATTTACAATTGCTAAAAAACACTTCTCAAACATTTTGTGAAACATTTGTAGGCGAAGTAGATAACATCGTAATAAATGTGGCAAGGTTTGATTTAAAAAATTAAGAGAAGCCTGTTTGGTGCTCATTGCAGAGATTACTTATGCCAAATCTTGTAGTAAAGATTTTTCGTATAAACTGGCAGAAAGTTACACGCATTTAAAACCCTGTGACCAACACTTTTAGGAACTGTTAGTTCTCTTTCTAGAATTTTCCTCAATTCTATCCAAAATTTGTTCCCCCTTCTCTGCAGTTCTTGTTGTACGATGACGTCCTAGGTCTTCATTTTTCCGTTAAAAACTACCAATTTCGCGAGCGCATCTATCAGTACTTCCAACGAGTTGATGATTGGTCACGTGGCAGTTAGGATATCTTTCTGAGTAGACGCTGACACTTTCGCGACCATTATCTTGACAAAACATGTAAACCAAGAGCATATCTATCAACTTGTTATTCGTATGTGTATCTATCCTTGTCGGAAAACAAAGTAAAATGTAATACATCTTATCGTATTAAATAATAATCATCAAGGATTGACAGATGCAATAACTTAAAAATCAAACTTAAGTCATAGGTAAATACAAAATCACTGCGTAATGGCAATTTATTAAATACTATAATGTATAGGTACATATTTGCGCTTAAACCATTCATTAATCGGCAACTGTAGAAGAGATTAAAAAAAATTCCTACTGAAAAATATGTTGTCATTATTGCATAAAAATACGTTATGAAGAATATTCTCATTACAGATCAATTTAACAGTAAAAAGTTTCAATTGAAGGCTAAACCACACCCCAAATATAATCAAAATCGATTATTTAAAAATCTCAAACATTTTTCAGGAACTTTGAGGCCATCTAACTGCAAAACGAAGCGATTTCGGATATAGGTGAATTAGCTTAAATCGATTGATTTTGTGTCCATGGATTTATGGTCTATTGTACGTGTATTTACAAGAAACCCAATGTTTATTTAATACGGATAATAAAATATTACAGCGACAATATTCATACAGGGTGATTCACAAACGGTGACAAAAAATGAAACCTCGTATTCTTTGGTGAATTTTAAGGGGAGTCTTTCCTATAAAGTTTTTATCTAGGACGCTTCGTTAAAAAGATACAGGGTGTTAAACTTCAAAAAATATTTTTAATTTTTTTAAATAATTTAAAAACTAGTAAGTGAAATAATTTGAAATTGGGCACATGTATTTATGTAAACATTGTTCAAAATCTGAGGGCTTTTCCTAAAATGTACATGCTACAGTGGCGGGGATACAGGGTACCGGTGGTATATTTTTATAAATAAAATAGTACACCACTGCTTTACGGCAACAACCATGATATTTTCGGATTAGTTTTTCAATTTTCTACAAATTGCTGCTCTCTTATGTTCGAACAAAGCCTGATTTTCGAGTAAAACTTAAAAAAACCAACTGAAAACACTTTGACAAGCACTAATCATTCGGTTATTTATTCGAATAAAGAAATTTATAACATTAGTCATCATTTTAATGATTTTATTTGAGTAAATGCTCAAAAATACCTCCATTTCCATCTGTTTAGTAACAAAAATATAATTTGTTCGAAATTTATTGTAGCTTTATTATTATTATTTATTTTATTCTTCCTTCTAACTGCTCAGAATGTCAAAGTTGTTATCGCAGCCCACTATATAATTTTAAAAAGCATTATATTCAAATATCGAAGTGTGTTCAAGAAGACTGATACAAAACACTATGCAACCAGTCTTAATTTCTGTAACTATGTATAATTTTAATAATTTAACACTCTCAAAAGTGATAGATTTTCCTTAGAGTTGCACTGTTACACTCTTTCTAATTCTGACGCTACTGAGTAGAGTGTTCAAATTTCACATGTAAGTTGTTACTATGAGGAAATTACACTATACCAAATTTGAAATCCTAATGGTTCTTGAGCAGTTCATCAAAAATTGTGTTTCATTTTCATTGTAATGCATTAGGAACCGTTTTAGAATAAATATTACTTCTATTTTTTGTTTAATTGGACGAAAAAACTACGTAATATTTTCTGCATTACATAAGTAGGTATTACAAACTCTGGGTTTAGGATTTAATTTAAAAAAATCAGTTCAGTGTGACAAATCTACCATAAACCTTCATACATTCATATCAAAAATTCTACAATGACTCAAACAGGATAACTAATCATGAAATTCTTTATACATTATAAACCTGTGAAAAGTTAAATTAAATTTTTAAAAACTTACTTCACAAACATTTTAATGAAAATTAAAATATTTTCAAGAGAAAAAAAGTGGATGGTTGGTCTGTACTGCTACATTTAGTTTACTCTGTACGGTTCTAAATTATTTTAACTCTGAAAATTATATTTTAGCTTCTCAGGCACCTACACAATTTTCCAATACCTCAGTGCTAGATAGTGAAAAAAATGTCATAATTCGAAACATATCCTGGCATATGCCGTGTGAGACGAACGGAGAAATTGAATATTTTCAAGTTGACATAAAAGGTCACTACATATCAGATTATAGGATTGTGGATAACAAGACAATCATCGTTAACACCACTTACACTGAGAGATACTTTACAGAAATCGAACTGATGCCAGCATTTTTGTACAATATCACAGTTCAAGCTAATGGACTCATTGAAGAAGGCGATTTCTTTGCTGACACATTTGTAACAGAAGACAATTGTATGTATAATTTAATATACAGTCTCTTTCTATACTTAAGCACACAGAATTGAAAATCTCTAAATGGGCTAAGACCTATACCTAGGTCACTTCCTTAATCCCTAATGTCATAACCCATTACTTTGAAGGAAAACTTGTGGTCATGCCAAACAATTCCTTTTCTTTCTTACTTAACTGACCCGGTAAATAATAAACAAATCAGTGTGTAAGTTCCTTAAAAACACATATCCACCTTTGATTTTAGATTGTATAACACCAAAGTAATGAGTACTTGTTTTCTAGTCCCAGGTCCACCGACCATAGAAGACATTACAGAAATAGGAGCAAACAACTTTACTGTAGTATGGAAAAAGCCAGAGAGAAAAGCTGGAAACATTACGGGTTATATGGTATCTATTGATACTTTGGGGCCTTTCTATGACACAGATCCAAAAAGGTGTCCTACGGAACAATGGCATTATAATGATTCAGTTCTGGGTGATGTACTATCGTATACCTTTACGAAACTGCGCCCATATTATCTATATAAAGTTTCTGTAGCAGCCGCTACTGCTAAAGGATATGGAAATTACAGTACAATTAACGTGAATACTGCATCGTCAGGTAAATATTTAAAATTCAAATAATATGGTTAAGTAACTTGATTGATATTGAAACCAAAAAGAAAATATTCCCATTGATTATAAAATTAATATCATCACGTGAAAATATTAACCTCGTGATTTATCTAAATATTTTTCACCAAGGATTCATCTATGTATTTTATAAAAAATATTTGGGCGGATAGTTTTTTAAAGAAAAAGTAAGTCCTTCCCTAGAAATTAACAATGTTATGATGTTTTAATAGAGTTTAGAAATTTTTTTTTATAATAAATAAAAACACATTTAAAAAACCCTTGTACATTGCGTTACACTTTACATGTAATATATATTATCTTGTATAACAAATTTGTTCTTACTACTTTAAAATTTGAAATGAGAGACATATGCAGACAAACAATTTTAATTCCAGCTCCAGAAAAAACCGAAGAACTTGAATTTGTACTTCTGGATGGAAACATTACCGGACAGGTGTCCTGGCGAACACCCTGTAACATCAACGGGCCAATCAAGGCATTTAACGTTGAGCTTGAAGGCAATTATACAGAAGACAATTCTTCAAATGTAAACTACAACTGGTCCTTGACTTTTTATAATGATAAATATAATTATAATCACACCATTAATCTAGTTGAAGCATACCATTTTGAAATTAAAGTATGGATTACTTTAGAAGATGGCACATATGGATTGGAGGATCGCAAATATTTGACCACGCCTGATGGTTGTAGGTACCTATTTAGAAAGTACTTTTTTATAGGGTATCCCATAATTATTGAACTTCCCTTAGGTCAAAAGTGATAAAATGCAGTACTGAAATTACAATTTTTATTTCGATATTTTATCAAAACTATGAAACTATGAATAAAAGTTCCTTTTGAATTAAATTCATCAAAAAATTATATGTTGGAATCTACTTTTTTTCGTTTATGAACTTGTCCCATTCAGAGTAACGCAGCTAGCGGACTCGCTAAAATCTCCTATTGCAAAATATTGGAAAGGCAGTTTAAACTTTTTGTTTTAAATAGATCCAGGGCCGCCCCAGCTAACTGATATAACAAATAAGACCAACCAGTCTTTCACTATTTCTTGGAACCGTCCGGATAAGAGAAATGGAAGAATTACCGATTACCAAGTAGTTATTACCCCTTTGGAAGCTTTATACGATACTCACTGTGGCATGGACGATACGGAACATATTAAAAACACAACTGGAAATAACACGAGTTTAACTTTCAATGAGGGTCAACCTTACTACAATTACAGCGTTTCGGTTAAAGCCAGGACTGTTACAGGTTGGGGAGATGTTAGCAATTTAATGGTTGCAGCAACCGAGCCATCACGTAAGTACATAGGTTTTTTGTATAGAGGATGTCAAAAAATGCTCGTAACAATATAAGAAAGGGTAACCCTCTAAAAAAAGTTATAAAAAATAAAAGTTGAATTTTATTTCGCCACAGAACTTCACAATATACAATACTGGGCATTCCCGAAATATTTGCTACTCCTACAAATTTTTTATACATAGATTTAGACAAAAGAAATAGAAGTTGCAGATATAAATTCCAATTTTTTTAAAATTTAGATTTTGTGAGGGGTAATAGAAAGTTTTCTCAAGGCTGTAGTTGACTTAACTTGAAGTTATTATAAGAGCTACAAATATTTTTGTTGAACAAGGTACATTACTTCATCTTTCCTACTACCTTGTGCGCTTATTGTTATTAATTTGAAATATTAGTTCCAGAAAATGTTGAAAATGTCACCATTGACAAGTCACTTCCCACACAAGAAGTATACAATGCACATGCGAATATATCGTTTCAACCTCCTTGTAGAACTAATGGTCCTTTCTCAAATTATGAGTTAATATACCATGGTAAAAGGCATAATTATGAAGATATTGAAGGGACACTAACTAGCCCAGAAAACTCATTTATTAATATTATGTTGAGACCAGAATATATATACGAATTTACAATCAAGACAAAAAATGTAAACTACAGCAGTCCCGGCTACTCCAAATCGTTTCTGGCACCCGCAGGAAGTAAGAAATTTATTTAAACTTTTAAAAAATGTTAAAAAAATTTTTTTCTAATCAGATTCCACAAATTAGCCTGCAATATTTTATCAGAACATTCTGTACCTAAAAGAGTATTGAAATTTAAGAATGGACGTTACTGTTAAGTTTTGAATCTAATAGTCAAATGCTGGGATTGTGGCTATCTTTGCATTAACATTTTTGTATGTGGATTTTTCCATGGATTGATTAAACAATTTTACAGTGAAAATATATTCATGGGGCCCGAATCAATATTCGACCTACAGTAATGTTATCTAACAGGATCCATTAACAAACAATTAGATAACAGATTGGTCAACAAAAGATGGTCAGGCAGATCTGGTTTAGAAAAGGCCAGACTTCTTATAAAGAGCTAAAAGAAATTCTATACACATATTTTTCCCTGTGCTTCCCCTATTAATAGTGAAAAGACACAAATACCTGAGAGCAGCTTTTCTATAACCTCTGTATGTCAGAGATCGAGTGCTTGCCTTTGAACGTAGCACAGGCTGTGTTAAAACCCTTACTGGCAGCATGCACAATATGTCACAAGACCCGAGTCTACAGACAACCACTCCAAAAATCACAACACATAGTTCATAATTTGCAAATAAATTTTACTTCAAAACAATGCAATCCAGAGTCTACATATAAAAAAGTTAAAGCTCAGCCTCTTTCACGGGATTGTAGGGTCACTTTAGTCGTAGAATGCGCCAGTAAATATTGCTGGCTAATTGCTGGACTACCTACATTTATTGATTTCCATCTATTGGTTTATAATATATTTAACTAAACGAATTGTAGTTCCTCAGTTCCCTAGCCAAAAGACCGCTGTGGAACTTGAAACAGCAATTTCTGGAGCTACAATTACTTTACAAAAAGAAAATTTTGATGTTGAAAATGGTAACATCACTTTCATGGCACTTATATTATCAGAAAGAAATGAAACTGGTGGTGATTTCTCACCTTGGGAATCCTCTGCTTGGCCAAGTATAGAAAGAGACGGATATTATCAACTAACAGAAGATTGGTGGAACCCTTTTAATGGTAATGACCTTAAAATGCTCAGTTGACAATATAATCTATGTCAGCTTCAATTAAATCAACAATATTACGAAACTAGTATTATATTTTATATTCTTATAATTGCAGATGCAGACAGAATTCAGTTCATTATAGGCAACGAGACAACCTGTAATAATCATGGAAACAACTGTAACAAACCTCTCGAAAGTGGCAAAGATTACTACTTGATTGTGAGATTATTTACAAGAAATTTCTACAAAAACAGCCCCACAATTCATTTTAGGACGGGTAAGAGCAATTAACACTGTCAATTTTGCTTTGAACAACTGATGACTTTAAATTTTTAGATGATACAAGTAAATTGGGGCTTATTCTGGGTGTAATATTTGGTCTGCTTATTTTTGCTCTATTGGGATTTGCAGCATTCTTTGTATGGAGGAAAAATCTCATAAAGTAAGTTAACAATACGCTCGAGGCTTATAACATGTATAATAATAACATATTGTAGGGTTTTGATAAATAATTATGTATTGTAGGCTCTCACCAACGTTATTAGCCAGAAAAACATCCATTAAACCACCATCTGATGGAAACACATCTATTCCAATTAACAAATTCATACAGTACTGTAAACATTTAGAAAACAATCCTGAAAAGTTTGCGGAACAGTATATGCTTCTTACTGAAAAGTCTAAAGAAATGATGAGCACACATACCACTGCGTTTGCAGAACTTACCGAAAATCGAAGAAAAAATAGATACACAAATATTTTGCCTTGTAAGTAAATTTCCTTTTTTTTTGGAGAGTAAATAATATATATTTAAGCCTATAGATCCTGTACTGTACTAAATTAAAAAAATGGTCCTTGGAGAACAAGTGGATCTATGTATACAATATATATTTTTATTTCTAAGTTTTCTACAGAGATATAACGATAGATAACCTCAAGGACAAATATTTTCCAAAATTTACTTTTCATAAACTAAATCTTTATATATAATTATAGTTGACGCAACACGAGTTAAACTACTCATCGATGAAGATGATGAAATTGGTTCAGATTACATAAATGCCTCCTATATAAGAGTAAGTGTTAATTAAAATTAGTTACTAAAAACTTTTTATTTTATTGTTATTATCCATTAGGGGTATTCTGGTAATATTGAATATATTGCAACTCAAGGGCCACTACCCACAACCTGTCGTGACTTTTGGAAGATGGTAATTCAAGAAAACGTTACTATTATTGTCATGGTGACGCAATTTGTCGAAGAAAATAAGGTAAGAAACAATGTTTGCTTTAATTTGAATGTTAAATTGGTTAAAAATGGATTAGAATATATTTGGCAAAACTTAATTTGTTCTTCTCTTTTCAATGTCTAGGAAAAGTGTTATAAATATTTTCCCAACAACCATGAAACTATGACGATTGGAGATGACATGGAAGTTAAATGTACCATGGAACTCCATTTTGGAACATACTGTGTGCGCTCAATTCAAGTTAAAAAGGTACTATTTTTAATACGCACTACCCAATGAGTCAGATATTATATACATGTATGTTTCAGGACTCAACTCAGGTCACTGTAACCCACATGCAGTATTTAGATTGGCCTGATTTTAATGTACCGAAAGGTACCGGTAGTATGTTGCAGTTTTGTCACCAACTCAGAGAACGCTTAAAAATAGAAGGAGGTTATGTAATAGTACACTGCAGGTAATACTTATTTGTTTTATTTAAAAATATGTATATAAAAATAGTAAACAAAAATCTTAACCTACTTTATTGTAAAAGTCTTGGATCCTTATTAATATTCATAGAGCAATGAGCAAGAGAACTCCTTACAAACGAAAATAAAAAAAATATACCTACTACATGAAATATTTCACTTAAAATAACCAAGTTAAAAAAAAATTTGATGTAACATGAACTACCTAATCGTACTTACCTATACATAGAAAAATAAAAGGGGTGGTAAATTTTAAAATATTTTTTAAACTTGGTCATTTTTGGTCTACTTAAAAAATATATAATAATAATCTAGGTAATATGAGGAAAACGATATATTATAATAATGGCACAAGATGTGGTATCTGAAGGGTTTACGATTTACGAAAAAAATCACTACCGTAGGATTTGTATAACTAAAAATAACTTAAAACATACCAATACTGGACTATAGGTATATTTTATAACACATATTTGCTGACGAAATGAACAACTATAGTATTTAACATAAAAATAATACTGTACGGACAGACATATAAAAAATGTATAAGAAAATTATTAACTTACAAATTGTATTTCACAGCGCTGGAGTTGGCAGAACTGGCACTCTCATCGCCACTGATATTCTCATCCAGAATATAAATGCTGGAAAAAATATAGACATTTTCAGTACGGTTTTGGAGCTTCGAAAACAGAGAATGATTATGGTTCAAGCTCAGGTATGTTGGCAATAATAATTTATAACTAACAAAAAATTACATACGTATCTATTTTGGTAACATAGTAATACAGTATAAATATTTAGGGTATTTTTAAAACATGGTGTCAACTGATACAGGAAATGTGATTTAAAACATTTCCTGGGGATATTTGAATAGTTACAGAGTAAAAAAGTGCACTGTCAAAAACGCAAAAAAGTAACCTTTTGCTTAAATGCCACTGAATATTTTCTTTCAGTTTTGTGCCATATTTTAGAATCATCCTGTATAAATACATATCTATTAAGTATGTTAGCAGAAGGCTTCAAAAAACTGAACGATGAACTTTAATTACTTTTTAATTTTTCAGAAACAATATATATACATCTATAATTTAATAAGAGACACTTTAGAATCACAAGCATCAGGTAAGAAAAAAGAGATTCCTTTGTTACTTCAACAATTGATCAGGTAAATACATACGTTCAGACAAGATTCTCTTATAAATTGCATCTGAAATTAATTTTAGTGTCAGTAACAAATTATAAGAAATTCTTTGTTAATAGATGTATGTATTTATAATATAGGTTTATTGTTATTTATTGCAGAATTAAATGAAAATCTGGAACCACTTTATGAAAATCAAACCGCTCTGCAAACAAGGACGGATGATGACAATTTAATCAACAAGGAAAAAGAAAGTCAGTTCTAGAAAGTCTATAACATAAAATGCACTGTGTCATTCATTACTCATTTTAGAGATAGAGACCTTATTTTATATAATAATTTATTTAATTAAACATAAAATATTTATTGTAAATATACAGACTTTGCTCAAAATACATAGTCTAAGGAACAAATTTAATAAGGCTACATAATTGATTTAAAATAATAATCGAAGTATTTTATTGCAATTGGAAATATGAGATGGAGGGAACAACCATTCTCATTGAATACACAGCAAAACTACCCCCAATATACAAAAAAATATTTTGAAATCTGAACTAAAACTTCATTTTATATTAGTTATTTACGAGGTTATTTATAATAAGTCAAACAGTATTTTATAACCTACTGGTTAAAACAAAATTTGCTTCCAGATGACTCTCTGATATGTATCTGAATATACGTATACTTAATTTTTTACTGTGATTTAAAATATATTTTAAATAAAATATTCCATTTTACAAAACTCTCTTTTATTATTTTTATGATTGACTTAATGGTTATTATGAATATGAAGCTCGGCCCATACTAATTTTTCCTAACGTTATTTATTTTTTTAATTACATAAGCCCCAAGAAAACGAAAAGAACATTTACATTACAATTGCACATACAAAATAAAATGGTATTATTTTGATAATGAGATGTTGGACCATACTGTTTTTTATGGGATAATTTCTAAGCCCATATATAGAGAACTCTTCGACAAAAATATTTCAAACTAAATTTAAAATAAAAAATTAAAATAGGGGTGGTCGACAAACCGATTGAAAACAGAAAAAAGTCTTACCAAATCTAATGTTGCAAGGCCATGGTATGTGGATGCGATGGATGAATATAATTCATATCAGGTGGTTTTATGTTAGGAGGTGGTAAGCCATGTAACTGATGTGGCATTATATTCGAGGTAACAAATCTAGGATCTAATCCAACATTTTCCTGATGTGATAGTGCAATGGGAAAGGGCCTATGTCCGTGATTGGAAATGTACATTTGATGTGAATCGACATTTGTATTATTCTGAGGTATAGGTAGAGGGTAAGCCTTCACTTCAACTTGTTTCTGACTTTGGCTACTAATATTTACATGATTTGAATGTGGCACTCCGTGATGAGGAACACTGTGGTGTACTTGAATTTTTTTGTTATAAGGCAAATTTTCTTTCTTCAAATCAGATGAATGATCTGTTTTCTCTACTAATACTGCTTTACTACCAACTTTCTCTTTTTCGTAGTAGAAACCCATATCTCTTAAAAGTCTTCGAAGTGTCATTATAGAAAAATTAGGCAATTTTTCGTTTGCATTAATATTTTTTAACAATGTACTTAAAGTAGGAACAATATTACGATATTTTAGATCATAAATAAGGTTTCTAATGGCTTGTCTTACGCTTTCATCATACTTCATAAATCTGCTATTTATATTTATGTTCTTTCGTATTTTTGTTTTAGATGGCTCCTTAAAACCTTCTCCACTTGCTTCTTCCTTACGAAACTGAAAGACACTTTTTTCACTACATCCAGTTGCTTTTGCTGTTCTACGTACTATTTCAGTAACACATTTATCAGGATGCATTGTTCTAAAGTATTTGAAAACATTAAGGATTATGGTTTTCTCTTTGCATGAATAAGACATTCCCTGCCTCATTTTTACGACTTCTAGTGCCATTTCTTTATTTATATAACCTCAATCACAGATATATCAAAGTAATAATTACCGGCTTTCGGCTTTATTTTACCTATGTGAAGTGAACTGTGAAGGTAGGCAGCAGGTGTAGCAGTCAAAGTTTAAAGTTAGCAATAATAGCACAGAATAGCGATAGTATCTAGTATAGACTAGAGGCAGTCATCCACTTTGCTTTGAACTCTTTGATTTAAAATCATTTGATTTGAAATTTGAAGTTGGTGTTGAAGTTCCCAGTATGCACGCGTAAAAATTAACAATATTTCTGAAATTAGCCCATGGTGTGCAATGAGGAAGGAATATAAGAAACTGCTACTAAACTTATTTCTTCATATAACGCAATGTAATTTTGTGAATATATCATGGATAGTGTAGTAATACCATTATTTAAATATTTATGGGAATCTCCACTTAACCTATGTTTATAGAGTATTTAAACAATACTTAATATTAGCCCTTTTCTTTTACTCATGATTTCGGAATCATAACGTGTTGCGATCCGATGGAAACCAATCAGATTGCTAGATTTCGGATCGTAACGCGTTATGATTCCGAAATCATAAGTAAAAGAAAACAGCTATTATACACTTAAGGCAAGTTCGGTATTGACATCTAGTTTCTAGATGCTCTACAATTAGAAAAGAACAAAACAAAAACACATCTAGACCTAGAGATGTTAATACCGAACTTGCTTATTGTTATATGAGCTCCTCCGAAGCTGCTTTCCAATTGTCATAGAACTCCTCCTGCTCCTGAATTATTCTTTCTTTCACTCCTTGTCTACTCTACACGCCCTCTACACTTTATAGTTGATACAATCGATAGGTCCTCGACTTGACTATCGATTATTATCGATAATTTAAAATAAGGGCAAGATCAGAATGTGAGAATAAAACCTATATATTTTTATTGCAAAATTATGGAAATGGTACTCCATATAAATACAAGGCCAATAAGTACAAACCAAAAATGTACAAAAGCAATGAAATAGGTGGGCCAACATAAAAGTTCCACAAATTTTCCCACTTTTCAGATTCATCATTCATATAATTATATTCAAATCATATTACAAGTCTAGTTTAAACTGTAAGTCAAAAAGTACTTTAAAGCACCGTTTTTTCTTTAGGTTTCAGGGGTCTGACAAATAAACAATGAATTTGAATCGATCAACAAATTTTTCAGTAGCAAACTATATTGGATATTTGAGATGGCACAATCTAGACTTGTGTTGCTAGGTTTGTTTCATATCCTCATCAATAAATCAAGCATTTTTCTTTTAACAAAGATTTATTGGCAAAAAATTAAAACAAAATACAAAACATAAACTTGTTATGGGTACAAAATATCATAATGTCCAGGACGGTACAACAAGTGAACTGTTGGGGTGCACCCTTCAGGTAAATCGTGTTCTGTACAAGATCTACCTGTGCCACGGTCCATGTAAATCACTCTTACCCCTGCACGTAAGGCGGCGCAAGCAGCAATAATGTGGATGTGATCACTTTCCTTATACATAGGTTCCACCTCCTGATGGCAAAAATCAGCTACCTATAAAGCATTTAGCCTTGAATATTTAGGTAACTTCTTACAAAAAATACATTCATCATAAAATATAAAATATGCGTAAAATGAACAAATTTTCTTACAGTTCTGTTTCCCTCAATAAAGCAACTAAAGAAGTCTTGGTCTTTTTGCAACTGCCCACTAGTTAACAATCTGAGATAAACCACCATGTAATCAGAAAAACCTTGTTCATTAAATAATACGTGGAGTTCTTTTTTAGCCTCTTCTACAGTCTCTTTGCTACGTAAGCGTTTTAGGACTTCCATATACTGAAAAAATAAAATTTTTTAAATTTAGTGGTTAAAATATATTCTGACATAACAATTAGCTGTATTATTAATAACTGGCAATTTGCATCTCTATGACTTTCTATATAGATTGACAATTTAAATTGAACATGAACTTACAGTGTCATAAAAGTCTTCTACAGTGAATTGCTGGAAACCAAGTTCTACAAGAACATCCTTACTGTCCTCAGCTAATTTGTAAAATTCATTAAATTCATCTTTGTTTTCTAGCAGTCTCTCAATATTTCCATAACTAAATGCTCTAAAGAAACAGTTTCCATCGGGTCTTGTTCGACGGATATTTTTATACTTGGAAGACAAATCTTTTACTTTCTCCAGGTACACCTTATCAGTTGAGTATTCGTTATTTAAAGAAGATATAGGCTCTAATTCTCCAACTAACGCTATACTTTCTGAAATCTGCAGAAAATTTAAGATTCAACCTAACCTACTTTTTATAATCACTTACTTCCTTTTCAATTTGACGCTGTTGAGCTAATATCAACTCGTCCTGGTTAATTTGGGGCCCATCTTCTGTTGTACAACTCGTAGTTTCAGCTTCGTCTCCCATTTTATTTATGTTAATAAACAACAACTTGATTTTTTTTCATGAAAAAATATTATTCGATGGTCAACGAACCGACCTTCAACGCTTGACATTTGACATTCGACGCAGACCGCAGACCGCAGACAGTTTTGTTTGTTGTTGGGAGTTGGGAACGGAAGGGAAAGGAAAAAGGTGATAAAAAAATATAAAAATATTTTTGTTTAATTCTATTGTTCATTTTATCGTTATAGTTTAACAAATATGGCATTTTAATTGCTTTATGGTTCTATAATTAAATGAAATTGTTATAGGAAGTTTCTTACATTTCAAACTTTTATCAGACAGATTTATGATCTGGAATCTAGTAAATTTTTACTGAGAAGTATAAAATGGTATGATTATTCATTATTTGATGTATTAATGGTGTATTGCAGTAATGGTGTAACTAAATTTTAGAAATATTTTACTACTGCACATACATACCTACTATAGGTATTAGGTACTTACGAGGAAAAACAATCATTTAAAATTTGATTCCGTTTTAAAATTAATTATTTTGCTGCCATAATTTAATTTCCTGATTATACACAGTAATATTTTTACACAGTACAGTGTGTTTAAGTCATTTATATCGAAGTCATATACCAGTAATTCAAAACCACTCGTATTGTATTTTAGAGGACTATTTCAAACCCCACATAGACAACCTTTATGACAAAGAAATTGGCCCGAATATCTCAAAAAAAGCTGTTACACATATACATATGCAAATTATATTCTTTAAAAAAAATTTCAGACTGACGAATATAAAATCGCTCATAATTTAAATACGTATCTAAAAATTTATTTGTACTGCAGAATATAGAGTAATAAAATTTTGTTATCCCAAAACCAATACTGGAGCTTAGTATAAAGTAATGACAGGAAGATATCAGTAAATTAATTTGTGAATAGTCATGAAATTAAAACTCCTTGCAACTAGCAAACCAATGCACACGATTGCATTGCATTACAAAACTAACGATAACATAATAACTGTGTGCACTAAAGTTAATAATAATTGAAGGGTTAGACATTTGGCCGATAATAGATATACCACAAGAAAAATACTATATAGAATGTGTATATGTATATAACACTTCCTAAAACAACTATCTGCAGCCACATTTTGTCACTATCATATTCTCGTAATTCTTAATTGCAATATTCCCCCATTTATCATAAAACATAATAGGTGAAGATAAATAGTCCACTGGTACGCAGCAGGAAGGTCTCTTGTTAAATGTGCGTAGCAGTTTTACATGATTAAGATTATCAGTTTGTGCATTTAAACATTTACCAGTGCAGTCGTAAGCCATGAATCCATCTGGAGCTATTATGAAATCGTTCCAGTGTAGATTTTTAAAACTAACAGTCCACTCTTTCTTCTGACAAGAGGGTGCGTTTGTGTTAATCTGAGTTTCTTTATACTTTGCACTTTGCTCGGTAGACGCAGTTTCTGAAATATTAAAATATGTAGCAATAATAGATATAGCATGATTCACATGGGTTGTAAGATAATTAATAGATTATATTATTACTTACCGTTATTTTGGACCGTAATTACAGCAAAACTTCTGTAAACTCCTTCGTTAGTATCATTAAATACTGAGACAAGTTTGTTGTCGTCGTAGCTGGATATGGTCAATAATAATCCAAGATTATCTTCTCCATTTAACCAGTTATCAATAGGCTTCTTAATTTTAAATACCTACAATGTGTATTAAAGAGATTATGATAAATTTGGCAATACCAATATTATTTTTATAAAATATATATTTTTATATGCAGTATAACAAATAAAACAAAGATTATATTGTAGATTTTGGAATTATTAGATTAATAGTTATGATTATGTACAAAGTAGACTTTGACATTGTATGGATTAGGTAATGACATGGGTAATACGTAAATTAAGTACTTTTAGCAACTTACTTGCCAACCCTTCTGCGCCTTTGAAATATAAATAACATTGAACAGTTTGTGAATGTCAGGATTTTCAATAAGAGTTGAGTCGTTAAACATTCCCTGTACTTGTTTCTCAAATTGGTACAGTCTGAGTACTACAGATTCTCGAAAAATTTCTGAGCTGCTCTCAAGTGGCCAGAAAAAGTAAAATTCTGCATCCGATACAGTTTCATTGCTGTTTAAGCTTTCCAGGTTGAATTTTATTATATTATTTGAGTTACCTTTGTTCACATTGAAGAGGATTCTGGTTGTAGTTTTCATATCAGGAGTAATTTTTTCATAGAATTTAGGAACAAACAAAGGAAGATCAGTTTTAACTATATTTTTGTGATCAAAATTCCATTCGTCATCTAGAAAGTAAGTTGAATCATACTGAAAGAAGAAATACAAAAGTGCATGAGAGAATTAAACGGAATCTCTATTCAGTTGTATCATCATTTACTTTCGACTTACATTATTATTGGAATTGTCTTCATTTGATTTTTGCAACTGTACTTTATCAACTCCTTTATGAGTGTAATCATAATCAGTTATGTTATGATTCAAGTAATATACACGGTTTGTGATTCTAAATTCATTTTTAGATTTTCCCATTCTAAAATAATACCTTCCAGAATTGTTAACATTTTGACAAAGAGAATAATGTGCAGTTAGAATCAAAATATAAATTTCGAACATCTCGACCTAGTTCACTTAACATGAGTGGAAATGAAGTCTAATGACTGTTCTTCAAGCTTTATTGAAACCTACGCGAGATCTAATTTTTTAATTTATGGAGGAAGCTGTAATGAAAGGTTTAAAGTTATTTTAACAGGATAATCATTTATTCGCATTCTTTCTGTTTGTGTAATGTTGGTTGCATAAACACATTTTTTTCATTATCATAAGTGGCATATTAAAGTAGCATTTTCCTAGTATTAAAGACATCTTATTAAATTCTATGTAAGATGTCTTCAAAAATATTGTAACAAATTGTAGCAAATAAGTTTACAACAAATTTGCTAAATCAATGTTTCCTAGCAAAGATGTCGGGTAGCTATTACAGTTTTTTTTTGCAAATTTCTTGCAAATACATTTATAGCTTTACAGTTTAAGTTTATTTTTAAATTAATGGCAATGTTCCAGCAATTTTGTTCTACGTACTGTGCTACAGCAACTATACTAGTCTAGTATCTACATATTGGTAGGCCACTTTGTGTCAGCAAGTGCGTGTGCTAGTTAGTAGATATAAAGTAGCATGATATAAAGACATGACAAATGTTTTGCATGTTATATCAAAGAGCGTTATATTACAAAAATTACTCTATTTGGGAAAAATGAAACATGCGTCTACCGATCCGAGAAAGGCTGTATGGTGATCATCCTATAAAATTTTAGGTGTCATTCGACAAGAAAAATAGGATATGGCAAACAATGCGGTTAAATTTTAATACTTTCATTCGAGTAAAAACAATTTTGGAACTACTGAGAAATAGAGATACGCCCCAAACATGATTTTCCTCGGATCGACAAATAGCACCAGCACCATATTCCAGTAAGTTTAAATTCAAATTAAGATGGGACTTGATATCCCGAGTCCCAAAGATGCCGTGATTAAGAAGATGGCTGTTTATCATATACCATGTAAAAGTTTGTGACAGGGAATTATATAAAAACTGAACATGATCTGGCTTCAGAAATTTGAATTCTCCTTACATCGCGGACCAAGTGTATAAGTTCTCTGGGCAAAAAAAAGGGGAAGAAGAAGAATAACTAATTAACCTAACCTAAAACTACATACTTCTGTGCCTAAAACCTAACCTTAAAATTTATTTTTAAAATACGTATTTATTATGGGTTATTGCATGTTCATAAAATAATAAACAAGAAAACAAGTTTGTTATTAATAATATTAAGTAAAAGCAAGAAAATAGTGCAATGTCGCAAACAAAAACAAAGAAATTATCTACACCTTGGGTTCAGTGTGATAAATGTTTAATTCATGTTTTAAATAAAGACGTGGAAAGTCACTCCAAGGATTGTCCACCTAATCTAAAAAATATATTTTATAATTTTCTTAAGGATGAGATATTATATGGCACTATAGATGCCAAAACTAATGAAGATATAAAAAACATAAGTTCTAGAGAGAAAGATAATTTGGTATTTTTAAGTAAACCTGTAATACAATTATGTTCATTTGCTATAGGGGATTGGGCAATAGTTCGAATGTTAGATAGTGGTGCACCGCCTGTAGTTAGGATGGTTTGGCCAACAGTGGAAAAATCTTTAACATCTGTGTTATTTACTAAAAATGGTAAGTAGCTTCATAGTTTGGTTTCTGATGGGTTATAAAGTAAAAAAATTACAGGATTAGATTTAAGTTTTGAAGAAGTCGGTAAGAATGTAGTGGTTTCTAAAGTATCTGGTCATATATGTTCTGCTAGCCGTATTACACTTATTGTATTAAATGGTCCAAAATCTTTGGAAATAACTTCGGAATTATATAACAGAGTAAGCAAATCCTATACTGACAGAATATTCACAGTAGGAAATAAAATAAGTGTAATGTTTTATGGAAAAATATTGAAATTTGAGGTAAAATCTATAGAGACAAGTGAGAAAGAAATTAATTTAGAAAATAATTTTAGTAGATTATGTATTGAGGACCAGCATGAATTTTATAGAACTTCTGAAGCCACGAAATGGACAGTATACAGGTACGGTTGTAGTTATAATAAAGGGCTTAGTAAAATAAAAATAATTAACCCCAAAAATAGTAGGGTAGATGTTAAGAGTAATTTCGATTCCTAAATGTTTTAAATACAGATGTAGATATTTTTCTTATTAAAATTATGTATAGTAGTAATTGGAGATTAAAAATTCTAAAAGTAGATACCTAAGTGTCTATCTTATTATTTATTGGATATTATGTTAATAGAAAAATTTGTATCAGTATTGTAAATGTCTCTAATTAAATTTAAATTAAATAGGAATCAGGAGCACTATGCTATGGAAGTACTTGAAGAAGAGACTGTAATGATAGCTGGATTAGATAAAGAGATGCAAGAAATTTGTGAATTAATGAATGCTGCGTTGGGCAAAAGAAAATTATCTAATTTAGCACAAAGCAGAGCTGTTTTACTATATGGTAATTCCGGTACAGGAAAAACCACGTTAGCAAAAATTTTAGGAAAAATGTCAAAAGCCAATGTGGTTGCAATAAATGCTCCTGACCTTTATAGCAAATATTCAGGCTCAGCAGAAGAAACTATAAAAGAATTATTTCAGGACGCTATAGATCATTCTCCAAGTATTATTATAATAGACGAAATAGATATTCTTTGTCCCCTTAGAAGCAGTAGAATCACCGATACTGAAAAGAGAATAGTTTCAACCCTCTTAGTAATGTTTGATAATTTAAATGCTCAAACTAATATTAAAGTATTTATTATCGCCACAACGAATAAACCTGACAATATAGATCCTGCCTTCCGTAGATGTGGAAGGTTAGATAGAGAAATAGAAATTCCAACGCCAAACCCGAAAAGTAGAAAAGCTGTCCTAACTACTTTACTAAAAAATGCGTGCAGTAGTTTAAGTGAAGACCAGCTACAGGAAATATCAGCAAATACTCACGGCTTCGTAGGTGCTGATCTGGTATCTCTTTGTTCGAGAGCTAGCTTGAATGCTTCACAAAGGGGGAATGAAAGTCTTACGATAGAAGATTTCAAATTTGCTCTTAAAAGGGTGCGGCCAAGTGCTATGAGAGAAGTCCAGATTGAGGTAAATATCAAACGACTGCTTAGAAATCGGTTATTGTTAGCATTCCACTCTTGACAAAAATCTATTTTTATTATTTAGTTTCAATATACGTTTCGGTTGAATCAAATTTTAATTACATAATTATGTAGCTCCCTATAATAGTTCCTTTAATTGAAGATTATAGTTTATTTATTTTCAGGGGTAAAAGAGCCATTAGAAATTGTGATTTTTCTTATAAAAATTAGCTATTTTAATGAAATGGTTTAAATCATCCTAGGTTTAAGTAAATATCAGAAACTTCCATCTCCTGTTCTAATTATTCTTAAATAAGCGTTTTTGTTATTTTCTTTATATTTTTTTTTGGTAGGTTCCCAATGTAAAATGGGTTGATATCGGAGGCCAAGAAAACTTGAAATTAATTCTGAGGCAAGCTGTGGAATGGCCCCTGAAACACCCTGACAGTTTCATTAGGCTTGGCATAACTCCCCCAAGAGGAGTTCTAATGTTTGGTCCTCCGGGTTGTTCAAAAACTATGATAGCTAAAGCCTTGGCTACAGAAAGTGGTTTAAATTTCCTGTCGATAAAAGGTGACCGACTTGAAAAAGGGGCTCATTATGCTTATTTATGTTCAAAAATCTTTTAGGTCCTGAATTATTCAGTAAGTGGGTCGGTGAGTCCGAAAAAGCAGTGCGCGAGGTATTTCGAAAAGCTCGGCAGGTGGCTCCCTCTATAATATTTTTCGACGAAATCGACGCTATCGGAGGAGAGAGAAGCTCTGGTACGAGTACGAGTGTGCAGGAGAGAGTTCTTGCTCAGTTATTGACTGAATTAGACGGAGTTACTCCGCTTGGTGACGTTACGATTTTAGCCGCGACTAACAGGCCTGATAGGATAGACAAAGCGCTGTTGCGACCCGGGAGGTTGGACAGGATAGTCTACGTTCCTTTGCCTGATGCCGATACAAGGAGAGAGATATTTCGAATAAAGCTTTCCAGGATGCCTGTAAGTTCTGGCTCTAATCAAAATTGCACATAGAATTTAATATCTTGTGTAGATGTGATAGAACAGGTAGGTAATTGGTATTTTAAAATGTTTTTATTGCAGGTATTAAATGTGGACATCGAAGATTTAGTAAAAAAGACAGAGTGTTATTCAGGAGCTGAAGTGAATGCTGTTTGTCATGAAGCGGCGATGAAGGCGCTAGAAGAGAGTTTGGAAATACAGCACGTAGAAGGGAGACATTTCAAAAATGCCTTGAAATTAATAACTCCTAGAACTCCTCCTAGTTTAATCAAGCTGTATGAGGATTATTTACAAATAAAAATTTAAAAATTGTCGTATTTTTATTCTCAGTTTGCGTTCTATACCTTACTATACGATCTAGGTCACAACCCGCTCATCTTTTAAATTACAGCAGCAAGTGTTCACACTTTTTAGGATTTGAATTTCTTAATTTCTACATTCTTTAAGTTCCTACAAGGAGTATGTTGACATTCCTCAATTATAAATTTGTGATTAAAAATATACAGGAAGTTTCAAAATCAACGCTCTTGCTTTTAGGGTTTAATGCAGGGGGTTAAAACAAATTGCACATGCAGTGTAGAACATGTCCTATTGGCCTTCCTTATTGATTTATTTAAAAAAAATAAACAAAGAAAAACGTTATTTTATATTAAAACATGACATGTCGTGAAACTTCAAACTTCTAGCAGTATATTTTCATCTATTAACGCTACAACATTGTAAATACGAGCTATAACATCTTTTAGGCAATTTTTTTCAGCCATTGAAAAAAAGTTCATAAGATCCAAATCTGCCTTTCTTGGAGGCCATGGTATGGATTCACCTCTAGGGGCAAAGTTTCTTACTTGCATTTGATAGTGTGTTGAACGAAAAATTCCCTGGATTGGAAGGAATGAACATCCTTTGGCTTTGATCGTCAGATCTGAATTTGGGCTTTGAAAGAATAAGTTTGCAAAAAATTTCTAACAGTCATAATGGCCCACAACTTTGCTGTGAAGGAGACTGACCACTGTGGCCAATTGGCCATTCACATGCGTTAGCACTAGGAAACAGCAGTAATATCGTTAAACTAAATAATTCTGTTTCAGTGTGGTTTCTTTTATTTCTTTTATAAACTATATGATAATTTGTAGCTGTTGAAATTTTTTGCTGTTCGGCTCTAATAAACTTTCTAGTTATGAAATACTTTAGTAATCTTGCAATGACCTTACACAGTAAAAACAAACTAAAATGAATGCACTTTTGCTGAAATGTAATTAATATAAAGTTGCTTCTTTAGAGAGAATAAGGCGCTTTTGTTTATATGTACCTATATTTGTGAATAGGATTGAAACAATTTTTACTTATTTTACTCATTTTTGGACAATTGAAATGAATAAAATCGTTCTCTCTTTTGACCATGAAAGTACAGCTCTTAAGGAAAAGCCCCGATTCGTTTTTCTTTCTCTACGATTATTTGTCGAGCAATTGCCGATTTTCGAGATGACCTTTTTCTTAGAAAATTCGATATAACTCGAAAAATTTTTAATATTTTTTTATTTGAAAAAAGGCACTTTTTTTGCTTGTCAAGGGCTATATTTACAGCAAGGAACAAGTTTCAAAACCTTAATTTGCAAAAGATACAGCAAAAACAAAAATAGGCTTTTTTTTGACCATTTTTTAGATATATCTCGAAAAGTAATATAGCAATCGATCATTTAAAAATACTAATCGATACGTTTATTAATAGCTACAACTTTCTTCTCTTTAACTTCTTAACTTTTTTTGATTGGAGTTCAAGTCTTTTTGACTTATTAATTTTTTAGGTTAACTTTACCGTTTATGTGCCACAGGAAAACACCTTTCTTAGAATTTTTTTTCCTATATCACCATATTTTTTGTTTCCAAGTGGTATTTTTTGTAAGCTCTCTTACCTATTGATTAGATTATAAAACTACATACAGGGTGTCCCGAAATTCATGCAACAAAATTTGGTCACAGATTCTTAAGACAAATTTAGGGGACCCGTATTTTTTTATTTTTGCCAAGTGGCCCCCTCTTTCGGAGTTACAGCCCCCTGAAGTCCGCTTTAAGAATAATCCTTTGTTTTATATCTCAGAACCCTCTGTTGTACGAGAATCACTAAATTTGGTACACAGGGGTTTTATGACACGTGGAATCTGATGGTGCTACGTTTTTTGGCGGGGAACCCCCTTAAGACAATTTTTCGTGGTGCCCCCTTGGCCCACGAAAAAGTGTCTTAAGGGGGTTTCTCGCCATAAAGCGTAGCACTGTGAGATTCCACATGTCACAAAACCCCTGTGTACCAAATTTACTGATTCTCGTACAACATAGTTTTGAGATATAAAAAAGGGGCAAATTTCAGGGGGCTGTAACTCCGAAAGAGGGGGCAAAAAGAAAAAATACGGGTCCCCTAAATTTGTCTTAAGAATTTATGACCAAATTTTGTTGCATGAATTTCGGGACACCCTGTATATGTATGTAACGCACCAATTTTATATACAGGGCGTAACGTAAAGGTTGGGAATAAATTAAACGGTGGATTTTTTATTTAAAAAAATAAATATTTGTCATAAAGTTATGCTCTTTTCAAAGCTACAGGGCGCTAAAAAAATTAGTTTTTTATCATTTTCAACGCAAAAATCTTTTTTCAATGCCTATTTCACCATGTTCGGTGGCTGAGTTAAAGCATACTTCATAATATTTTTATTTATTATTTTCCAATGTTGGCAGTGGGAAAAAAATGGTATTTACAAAAGTTTTATTTACGGAAAAATTACAAAAGCTAGAAATAAAACGCAAGAGGGTAATTTAGTTTAAAATAAAAAGTGGATCATAAAAAAATATTAAAAAAATGTTTTTACCAGTGGCATACCACAATTTTGTTCGAAGAACATTACGGTACAATCCGTACGCACACCACTGAATAACTTATAGTCATTTTTTTTCCTGTTACTAGAGGATTATCAAATTAAGCTAATGCTAAAATTTCGTTCCATTATCTTATAATGTTCGAAAGTTATTGGAGAAAAACAAAATTTTTGGAAACTTTTTAGCGCCTTGTAGCTTGGAAAATAAAACCCGTAGAGCATAACTTCATATGAGAAAAAATTATTTTTTAAACCAAAAAATCCACCGTTTAATTTATTCCCAACCTTGACGTTACACCCAGTATTTTATAATTTTTGTTGAATTTCTTAATTTTTTTAGTTATTTATATGTTTTCTTGTTTTTCTTGTTTTATTAAAAATATTTCTAAAAAAAAAAAAATTATTCACTGGCCTCAGCAACATTTAAATTTGTACAGATTTAACTGGAATTCAAACTATTGACCTAAACATTTAAACTTCATTTCTATGCGAGTTTAAATAAAAAATTAAATAGAATAAAATCACACGGTATGGGTTATATACAACTAATATTTAATAAAACCCGGCTCTATAACTTAAATATTAAGGATACAGCAATTCTTAAATGAAGTATTACTACTTCTTTGAGGATTATAGAAGGTTAGTTATTTTACTTGATCAACAATTCTGCTAGGTACCTTTAAAACTTGTTTTTATATTTATCAATTTTTGACCCAATAAATTCATCAAAAAATTATGATAATATTGATTCGTGGTACTAAATATAAATAGAGTAAAACAAATGCTATAAATTTCGTAGCTTTAATAAATTATTATACTTAGATATTGGACAATGCAATGCAATTAAACTGTTTCCAACTACTGGTAATATAAACATATTGCGACCTGGGACAATTTCCTGAATAATTTATGGGAAAATTGTTACGCCAAACGTAAATTAGAGAAACAGTTAAGTTGTCCCCAAGTATCTTTATAAATATTTCTTGAAAATATTAATCAAATATATGACTGCATGTGGCGTCATACAAATCTCTTAATCTTTTGCAAACTATTTTTTGCGATAACACCTAACTTATTTGCACAGATATGATGATAGGTATCATTAAACACTTAAATACCTACAGGAGATTTTATAAATCTAAATATTAAAAAAAATAATTACCTATCACCTATCAGCATTAAGCGTATATGCATCGGAAATACCGTTCGTTAAATAACATTTTATAAAAATGACATACCTACGTAGATAGAGATATATAGATATAAGATATTAGAATAGATAACATAATCGGTAGGCCCACACATGAGCTATATTTTTTTAGATAGACCAGTGGGCAACTATAAATTTTCATGGCTTATTTTTTTTTTATGCTTGGCAGGCAGTAACTTTAGACGGACCATTTGTTGCGTAGGTACTACAGAATCACTTCCAGATTCGTGCCTCATATAGATAACAGACACATAAAAAAATGCACACAATTTCATAGAACTTTGATTTTGTTGAATCAAGGAAATTTTGATATTTTCTACAATGCTGTAAAGAACACTAATTGTGTGAACACTATGTATACCAACCATGAAATGGATTGGTGGAAGAAAGACCGATAATGATGAGTGGAGTGTATATTTAAGGACTGATCCTTTTGTTTCTTCATGTTAAATAAACAACAGAAAAATAAGTAGGTAGTGTATATTTAAGGGCTAATGCTTTTGTTTCTTCATGTTAATAAAACAACAGAAAAAGTAGGTACAATTTATTTAACTTATAAGCAAATAGTGCCTGTTCTGTGCACCAAATTCTTAATTACACTTTGTAGGGTTTGAAATTCTACTTATGGCTTTTTAGGTTTTTAGAAAATAAAAAAGTTCTAAATTGATGGGCCGTTTCCATGTTCCATTTTTAGGGTGTTCAAATTCATAGGGTGGCATGGAACGAACCATTTTTTTTGACTGTGTAACGAAAATGTGTTTTTTGAGTTATAATGAGTGCGTCACTTGTTAAAATAAGTAAATAAGATATGAAAAATTTAAATTATAAAATAATAATACAGTATGACGCTGTAAATTCCAACGAAATGAAATCACTTTAAATAATGTCATATACCTACTATTATTTTCTGCCAAATTCTTGACAAGGTCAATTGTTACCGGAATTTATATATATGCACTTACAGGGTGTAACAGCAACGCTGTGACAAACTTCCTCTCGTCAAAATAAACAAATAACAATTACAACGTTCATAAAATGTTGTATAAGGGATGTCTTAAAAAGCTGAAGGTTTTTGATCAATTACACAAAAACCTCAAAGACAGACTTCAAACTTGATACAGCTTAACCAAACTCATCTTTTCCGTAAGATGCGCATAGTAGGGCGGTAGGTTCACACCGAGAATGAGCTCCGGTGCTAGCTTGGTAATGTTGTTACTGCGCAACTGCTACTTGCGGACACGATGAATTTGGTCAAGCTCTTTGGTCTTTGGTCATCTCTTTTACTGACTACCTTCAAGTAACATTTAAATTAATATTAACCAGTAACGTCGGAATTAAGAGAATTATGCGGGAATTTTTCTGTCAAAAAGGATAAAGAAAATTTGGATCATAATGAGAGACAATTATTTAGCTTTAGTTAAAAAGGTATGTAGTTGTGGAAAAGTCAAATTTATCCGTCTGGCTATTTTTTATTCAAGTAAGTGAACAACTTATGATACTGATTTTCATCAAAGTTTCTATAATGTCGTCGTCGGATAGACTATAGGGAAAAAACTCAACATCGTCAATGTTTTTTGAGTAATTGATTAAAATTGTGTTTCACGTTTAACTTTTGGTTTGGTTTAACTATTATTAGTTTGTGGCAAGTTTATTGTCAGTGTCCAGTAAAAGAGGGCAGAGGTGGATCTAAAATATTTTTTAATACAGCATTGTCTGTACTTTTATATATTGTAGTATGAAGAACATCTTTATGAAGACTAACTTGATGTATCTACTAATTACATTATTTTTTTCACACTTCTTTAATTGTATCTTCCTCACTATTATAGACAATCTAATCAACTAATTCATGTCTGAATATGTGAGTAAACTATAGAGCCCTTAAAAAGTGAGTTTGATCTTTTCAAATTGTTAAATAAAATAATTTGATGTGTGTTACCTCGGTACAATAGGCGTACATAACTCATTTGGTACAGTATTTTCTAGCATAAAGATTTTAAAAAATTATATGTATTTTTGTACAATAAAAAGTGACTCAAAACAAACAGATCACATTTTCTCACCGTTTCGAAAACTTCTTTCTATTTTTATTATCAAGACCTATATTAGAAATGAGTCAATGTCGAATATGAGATTTTATGATTAAGTATTATTTACCTACTATGTGAGTATGTTTTTGAGGATTAGTAAATAACAAGAATAAAGGTAATTTAGTTATCGCATTTGTCTTCAAACAACACTATCAGGGATTTTGTGTTATACGTGTTTTTATGATTTTTCAGCGTTTTCTCGCCAAGAAAAAATTGTTTTATAAAGAAGTAACCCCAAGTGATAAAGAAGAAGCTTACGTTAACTTGATCACTTAAAGTCGGTCTAGCGTATTTAAATTTGGATTTTAAAACGGTTCCAGCAAATGGTATTTTTAATGCAACAGATCTGACGTAGAACATTACACCTAGGTATCTCATTCGATGGATCAAATTTTCCAAATCATAATCTCCTTAATTTATAATTAAAGTTAAAACTGTTTTTTACTTTTTATAAATACCCCAGTATTTCCTAGAATGAACTTATTTACCAGACATTGGAAAATTTACTACGAGTTTCCTATGAATTCATATAAAATATAGATTATTTGCTCTTCAAAAATGTGAGATTATACTATGCCGGATACATAAACAGAAATACTATTTAATTACGTTAAACTACTAGCAAGAAACTAAATAAATTATGTAGGATGAATCTTAAAATTAATATCAGTTTAAACTTTATTTCTTTTCGTACTCTAATTCCTAAGTATATGTATAGTCCGTACTATATTTGTTGAAAAAGAATTCCAAGAATTCCCCTGCTTCACTTTCTTGGAATTACCGCATGCAATAGTCGAGGTCGAAAGACATTAGCGAAAAATATCAAGGCACGCCCCTCTGCGGTAAATTATTACAGTAATTCCGATATCAGAACTTTATTGGCTTAATCTTTTCTTGGAATTTTATCTCAACGAATATTGTACGGACTGTACATTGCTCTAAAAATATTTAAACATTTTGGAACGCTTTCAGATATTTACAATCGAGTCTTACTTTATTGGATGCCAAAGGTAATTCGGATAATCAATAGCACGCTAGGAGTTACGTCATAGCTGAGGAAGATGTAGGGTTTTCTATCTAAACATAACCCCAGTTTTGCACCTGTGACTTTTTTGTCCAAATTTTGGTTGGGTTTTTTTTGGTGGTTTGTGTTATCGTATTTAGTTTTTAATTGTTTTGTGTTCCACGACTTGATTTCTCTTATTAATCAAGGGAATTGTGGCTGAACTGTAGAGTCATGTTCGTGTGGTTGATAAAGCAGAATTGTTTTATTGCTTTCCATCGATGTGACGTCAGTTAAGTGTTCTCAAAACTAGGCTGATATATATGTAATTGGGACATTTTTATTTGTAGGTCTACAAATTAGTTCTTTTTAACAAGAAAGGGAAACATTATTTCAGTACCTTGTGTAACTATAGAACACTTAGTTATGAAAAAAATATGTATTACATGTTTAGAAAAGGAGTAAAAAAATATCAGAAAGGAGATAATTTTTTTTCGATTTTTGAACTAACTTTTTTAAATAGATTTCACATTCTTGGGCAAAATTCTGACTGTTTAAATAGGTATTAAAAAAATTTAATTCTTATTTTGCTTCGGTTAGCTGTCAGCAGAAGTTTATAGAGATTAGTTCCGTACGTTTAAATTTTATCTGCGATTTATCATTATATCGTTTTAGTAAATTGCTTCAATATCACGAATAAACATTTGTTACTTTGCTTCTCAAACGAATAAAGGATAAGTAAATAAAAAAATAGGAGGATTCAAATCTTATGAACATGATGGTCATTAACTGAAAATATCCTTCTGATTAATTTCATCAACAGTAGGAGTCTGCAGAAAATGGTGCTTTGTGGAGCATTATCCGAAATTCTACTCGTAATATGGAGAATGAGGGATATTTTAAATTAAAACGTTTTTTATTTTTATAAAAAAATAAATAACAAAAGAAAGAGCAATAAGAACAATATATTAGAGACATTGTTACCGTAAATCAGTGGCGTACAATTTTATTTAGAAAAATATACCTTCTAAACCCTGTATCTCCGCCACTGGAGCATGTAAATTTTAGAAAAGCCCTCTGACTTTGGACAATGTTTACGTAAATACATGTGCCCGATTTCAAATTATTTCACTTACTAGTTTTTAAATTATTTAAAAAAATTAAAAATATTTTTTAGTTTAACACCCTGTATCTTTTTAACGAAGCGTCCTAGATAAAAACTTTATAGGAAAGACTCCCCTTAAAATTCACCAAAGAATACAAGGTTTCATTTTTGGTCACAATTTGTCACAATCACCCTGTATGTATCAAAATATATAGTATAATTTCAATTTTTATCTGCGCATTTTTTCTACAGGAAATTATCACCAATTCCTTAAAACATAATTAAGACGGCCTGATAACAATTTCAAGTGGAGTCAAAATTTAAAAAGGACGAAGAAAGAAGTAAATAGGTAAATGTTTAACTATTGCTAATGAATTCTTTAATTTAGAAATATAAGGTGCAACATCTGAGTGAATGAAAATGTTTGAAATGAAATAAAGTGGCATAGAGGTGGTAAGGTACGTTGATTACAGTTTCTTAAAAAATTATGGCACATCGATGGAAAAAAAATTAATGTAATATTTCAGAACTTAAATTTTATTCTTGAGAATTGTACACAGCTTTGACTGTGTTGGAACAAAACACTTGGGGCATTTATTTCACAAGAGCAGATATCCTGAAACAAACTGTCCGCTATAAATGTTTGTGTAAGAAAGCATTCTTTTTAGACCAGAAATACGCTTCTTTTTTCTTGACACGTTGTTGTTTTTCATCTTGTACATATTTATTTTATACAGGGTGAGTCAAATTAACGATAGACCTGAAAATGTGTTTTGAAAACAAGTAGCTTTTGTCATATTAACATTTTTCCAAAAATAATCCAAGGTGATAAAAATCTAGAAAAAGAAATCAATTTTTAATATTTGTTTATCTCAAGGTTAATTTAATATGAGATATCAAGACCCCCAAACAACCAATGGTAGAGATATGGACATTCGCTTAATTAATTTAATTATAAAAAATAGTATGACCCTCACCCAACAGAAATGATGCACATTTTTGCATGAACCTTTCAATTTTACATGAAAATTATTCTCTCGAGAAGGGGGTGTTTTTGGTAAAATTTCACATAAAGAAACCTATTTACTTTTACTATCAAAAGAATTATCAAATACTCTCCCAGTCCTACATTAAATAATTAAGTTTAGCATCACATGCAATAAATGCAGTCTGCCTGAAAAACTTAATAATATTCAGCTATGTTTGCGTTAAAGTTCCTTTCAGGGAACTTCTAGTCGTGGCGACTTCGTCTAGTCCCTACCTGATTAGTCGACGCTCCTAAGTTCCCTAATCCCCATCTATTTATAATTTAAAGTTGAGCCTTATTTAGGTAGGTACATCATCTCATGCATTATTAGGGTTTACGAGACAATGAATCACACGACACACATTACTCTTATATTACAGATTATCGTTGTTTAAACTTGTGGATATATAAATTTATATCACACTTTAGTAGTGACAGTGATCAGTGGTTAGGAGCAGTTAGGAGACGGCAGACATGTACTTCAGAAACTGTGTTTATTTTCTATGCGGTACGTATTGCTTTCTAATTTTAGTAATCGTGAATTCGTGAGCATGGTAGTGTAAACAATATAACAGCAGGTATCGAACACTATAATATATTTGTTTTTAATTTCATTCATTTGTTGTAGCCGCAGATTGACCTCCTGTCTTAGTTTATGAAAAATATAACTAGTTCCACTTTCAATTTCAATTACTTTATGTAACTTGTTTCAATTTAACTTAAATTTTATTTTGAGTATGTAACAGTAATTTTTTGCCATTTAATTCTCGTTTATAAAAATTTTAAACTTTTGAAACACATTTGCAATTAATTAATTTCCTAATACGTTGTAAATGAAAAAAAAAAAACAGATTAAAATCAAGTAATAAATAATTTAAATTATAGATACTATAAGGATACTGACGTAGATAATTTATAGTCCAATTGCAGGTACTTTAAATTTATAAAAATTCCTCCTCTATCAAATCACGTGCTTGTTGTTTTCGTTTATTATATTATTTTTTTAGTAAGATATTGACTGTTTTAGTTATTAATTAAAATTACAGTTGAATATATGAACTTACTTACATTTTATGAATCATATTTTTAAATGATTGTAGGTATTCTAATAAAATTTATAAGGTATGCATACTTCGTTATTCTAAAATATATGTTATAAATTGGATGACGTTTTTCTATGGTAAGTTGCAACCATAGAAAAGGGTTGCAACTTAAAATTTGTTAACTCAGGTTCCCAGTTTAATTAGTAATTGCAGCGTTTTCTTTTCAAAATTTGTGCCTATTTATTCATAAATTTACTGTCAAAGCTGTATTTTTTTTCTTAATTAATACCTTCGCTACACACCTAAGTAGCTACAATGTATTTTAAAATTTGGGGTTTGGTTCCCTGTCCTGTAATTATATCCAATTCTAACTATGTACTGCAGCAGTTGTAATTTAATTGTAAAATTGTATTGAAATAATGTTAAATATTAAATACATACATTTGCATCTTTATCTGTGCATATATCGGGTGTCGGGAAAAAAAGAACAAATGTAGGAAGCCATAAGTTCTTATGACTTATTTTGAACCATTAGGTACATAACTTTTTTTGTGAAGCGATTTTTTTCAAATTTATTACACGTATTACTAGTGATAAACTGTATCTACAAAAAAAATGCAAAGCCTAAATCTTTAAAAGGCTTTAATCGTCCTTACTGGATAGAAAATTGATCATAATTGTATTATCCGAATATTATCTATTTGCCATGTCATTTTTGTTACTTACATAATGCGAAAAAACAAAACTGTATGAATTGGTAATGCCTATTTATATAAAAACATAATACATTTTTATTTTATTGCTGTGTTTTGACCATTGCACTATTTTCGAGAGTTCACAATCATGTTTTCGAAGTGAAATCATATTCATGTTGTATTGAATTACAGAAATAACAATTTGTATGCAAACATACCAAGCAAATTTTATAGCAAGTGCCTTATATCCCGCAGTAGACGGTAATCACCATAAGTTTTTATTGTAAGGCCATTTTAAATTGTTCAACTTACGCAACTCAATACTTTTGATATTATTTGGCGTATATTGTCAGTTAAAGGATATTTAGCATCTAATTTTCTTAATGTATAGCTAGATGTCTTAATAATTATAGATATAGCTTTTGCAAGCTTGATCTTCTATAAACAGTAAAATCCAAAAGAGTCATATTTAAATCATTTGAAGATGGTTTTTAAAACTGTAACGTATTTGACAAACATAAAAATTCATGATAATTTATATTTTTGTTCAATGTTTACTAGGTATATTATTACCACTTATCTTTTAAATTTGTTATTGTACCTCATTCGCAGCTTTGCACCGGATTAACAGTACAATATTTAAATGACGAAATAAAAGGCCTCATTATAGTTATATGTATAGGTAAAGATTATCATAAATTAAATAATGATAATTTGCAACAATTATATATTTTTAGGTCGATGAAAAAACTGAAGAAGACAATAATTTCCACACAACATTCATTTATTTGTGCAATCGGTTTAGTATACGAATATTTGTCACCTTACTTACCAGGGAAAAATTTATATCATTAAAAAAGTCGTCATTATGTAAATTTCTGCTGCTTGGTAATGTGAAGTAACAGATCTTTGAAAAAATAGGTTTTCCCTTCTTTTGGGTTTCTTTCTGTTGAAATAATTTCCCCATTTCTTAATATTCACAAAGTACATCGCTTTTGAAAATGCAAAATTATTACGTTGATAGATATTAGTCCTGTACCTAAATGTAACTTATTTTTTACTCGTATTATTTTCAGTACTTGAGTTAACTTACTAGACAAGTAATAGATCCACCTTTTGACCTTATGTCGTTCATTGCAGTTCGTGGTATTGCAATTAGTAGCTACTATATTTCATATTAAAATATTTACCATAATAGATACAAAGAAATTTACACTTAAATTCCGATGATCATGTATGATATATTTTTATTAATCGAGTTTTGAAAGATTTGACCTTTCTAATCGTTTTCATTTAAAAAATAAGTTCATGTATAAAAAAATTTAAACAAACTTTTAATGACGTCATTTTATTTTCGAATTCTTCTTTCATTTGATACCCATATCATGGGGATGCATAAAAAATAACTGCTCCGCCATCTTTGGGAGTCCGCCATATTGGATTTAGAATTACGTCACTTAGCTAACCGTGCATTGTCAACCAAACAAAACGTGTATGCAGAATTTCAGCTGAATCGGTTGGGGATAACTGTTTTAAAATTCAGTTGGAAGGTTTGACTCATACTAACAAGTCAAGTTAAATAAAAGCTTGTAATAATGCTAAATGATGCGCACAGAAAAAATCTCGTGAAACAAAACAATAGTCATAGAATATAAAACTACGTTGGGTTAAAATTCGAATAAATATTTAAATCTCAAGATAAATGAAAGGGCTTAATTTTTTGGATGTTCCGAATTGTGCCCTAAAGTCCCTTGACTCGTTTCAAGATATATCCCATTTCCACAAAGAATTGTACTGTTTTGGCCTCTGCAAACAAAGTAGAACTGTATGCAGATGATATTTATTAATTTCCTTTGAATATTGTATGATTGTATGTAGACAGTCCAAGAAACCAATTTAATAATCATATTGTGCTTTTCATTGGCTTATGGTCTTCAAAATTAAATGTATTTTGGCCATTGGATCAAATCGATGGGCAAAGCAATCTAGAATAATGAGTACTTTTGTAAATGACAGCTATGTTTTTGTTAGGTATGTTAAATTAAACAGTAATTTAGTAATTATTTTTAAAAACAATTTTGCTGCCCTCATTGACCTTCGGAAAATGTTGCTTGAGTTATCAAACTGTAAAGTCTGCTAATATAGTTGTTGTGGTTCAGATGTGAAAGTCAAATAGTTGTCCCCATTTACGATACGTTTTCCTTAAGCCCAGACATTTTCACCTTAACGCAATATAAACAAACCTCTATAGAATGATTTATTTTTTGTTATTTTTTATATAATGCGTTTCTAGATACATTTGTTACGAAAACCTGAATAAAAGTTAATTAAAGTGCTACAAAGCTTATCTAACAGTATCGTGGGAAACAAGGAAGAACTATTCTTTGAACTAATGCCCCAAGCAGTATTGAATTATACTTTATTTTTATGTTATTAATCTTAAATCAATACATACTTTAAAGTCATATTATAAGAAGTAATGTAATGCAAAACAGCAACAATAATTTTCTGTTTACATTTTAAAGATAAAAGAAAACCTTTTTTATTTTTTAAGTTTTGCACTACATTTAAGAAACCCTTTTAATTTTACACACTTTTTTTCAGTTATCATATTTGCTAGACGTTCAAAATTATGTCATTTGGAGTTACCATTTAAGCAAAAACGATCGACAAAGTCAAATTTGTTAAAAATTGGTTAATAAATTATTTTCCCATATGTTGCCAGATGGATAACACTGTACATATTCGAATGAAAGTTTATTGTAGAACTGAAACGAATATTTAATATGTTTATCAAATTTTTAAACTAACTTATTTTCCGCAGGCTGCGTGGCGTTTGGTGCTATGGCTTCGCCAGATGTCACCGTATTTTTCCCGGAGATAAATGGAAATTTGAGCAGCATCACTTGGGCCCATGCCGTCAACAATCAGAGTTATTTGAATTCGACACTTTACGATAGTAAGTAAATTCTCATCTCTATTACATTATTGTCATATAATTTTAATTTTCAAACATGTAGCTGCGGGTAATCCAGTTGTAGAAAGACAATATAAAAAATCACGTATATCATTTCCAAAAAGGTAAGCTTTGGGCGAACATTTTCATGAGCTATTGGCAAATATTCTACAATGGAGACCAAAGTAAACGACGGATTTGAATGAGATAAATGTTTAATTAAAACACTTTGAAACTTCTACCGACATGGAATTCAAAATTCAAAAAGTATGTCCATCATATTTAATATAACACATTTCTATGGAAATACGTCTTTTAAAGACGTTAATTATAAGCATAAGTTTCCTGATACGCAATAAAAGAAGCAACTAGTTTCCAAACAAAAACGGTTACAGATGAGAAAGGATTTTTACAACCACGGACGCACCCCGGGGACAAACTTTTTACGAAGAATTCTTATATTGAAAACAATTACTTACATAACACATTTTTGGATTTCCTGTACAATGAACAATTTCTAGGATTTAAGGGATTTAAATAAGATTGAGAATTGTAAACCATAGTTTCATAACTTATCAAAATCTTTTTAGTTATTCCTTAGTGAGCATCTTAATATCTATAATTGAAGTGATAAAATCTGACTGATAAATTAATTAAGTTCAACAGCTTTTATCTTTGTGGATTACAAAGCAATTAGTTTTATCCAAAGGCGCGACCCAATTTTCTATTTATCACTATTTTTGTTATTGTTGATCACCTGCACTTATTAAGAGTCAATAGCAAATAAATGATTTGATCTTTGGTCAGATTATGCAATACTAAATTTCACCATTTACTTACACAGGAGGAAGACATAAATCAAGGATTAAATGATTACTATAATCGATTATTCTTATAGTGATTACTTTTAATGAGATATATCCTAGTTAATAAATCACAAGAGTAAAACCTCGCATTTAGTTTTTATATTATTTTATTTTTAGATTAATTTTTAGAAGATAACATGGGTAGGTATATGTAAAACACTTCCTTATCAAAATGCAAACAATCTTTTTATTTGCTCTGTAACTGTAATAAGCCCTATTTAAATTGTTAATCTGGCTTTAATTACCCCCATAATTGTTTTTGGTAAACAGGTTTCTCCTGTGATTCATCTACATTTCTTTAGAAACGTACATGTATATCTGCACGGTTATTAAAAAAATATATTAAATCTATTATGGCAAAGCTGTTCAAAATCTGTAGCTACACTCAAAAGTTAATGAAGAACAACTTTTCGGGACTGAGGGCATTCATTTTATCTTTATTCTCAGAAAAATCGGTCTTGTCAGAGAAATGTTAAGCTCAATTATAGTAAAAATACGACTAAGATAAAAGAAACTTGTATTATTGTATCAAAATGATATATTCATAAGTCTGCAACCAAGCAACAACGTACTTGACATAAATTTATCTCAAGATATTGAGATTTTCCTTTGTCTGGTGTATTTCCCCAATAGATTCTAGTATATGAAAGCACTGAAGATTAATAAGTAGTCTATTTGTGTTGCTTACACAATATTTAATCGGAATATACGTATCGATAAGTGGATGTAGGGAAGTCACGAGGTGGTCATTATCTGCAATTACTCTAAACAAAAGACCGCAAATGTAGATCACTGAAAGAATATTTTTAAGTTAGAAGTATATATATATATATAAATGGATATTTCACTTTCTTATACGAATATGTTATATTATTGGTAATAATATATATTATATTGGCTATAACAACAATATTTAATAATAGGGATTAACATATTAATTACTTCCCGAAAATAAAGCCACCGTAGCTATTATCAAATTTAAGAAGTGCAAAATATAAGAGAGAAAGTAAGAATTCTTTGATAAAATTGCTATAAGGACTGGTTGCATCTTATACAGATCTTCTGCTTCATAACTCTGCCTGTTTATAAGCTGTGGGTCCAAACAAATGAGAATCTGGTGCATCAAATTTGGACAGTACCTTTCTTATTTTTGATTCGTTCTGATTCATCTGTTATCGTGTATCCAATATTCATTTACTTTTTGAATTGACATTTATAGGGTTAAAAATTTACATATAATATTATAAAAATACACGTCAAATTTTTTTTTTACTGTTAATACGTATATTTAAATTTATTTTTAGATAATATAATGATGATAGAGGCGGATATAGTTCTGGGCACACTCACAGGCACTAATAACACTAATGGCACTAACGCTACTGAGATCCCGGTGATGGGTCATCCACCAAGCAACACTTCAGATCTCTCTTTAGAGAATTTCTTGACCACCATAGACTTATTTAACACGAATGCGACAAATACCACAACGAGGAAGGGTGTCAAGTTGGACTTTAAGTCTATTGAAGTATTCAACGCTTCCATCACACTTTTGAGGTCATACAATCAGGTAATGACCTTCACAGCGATCAATCTCAAACGAAAAAATCGCTTAGCTTTATTAAAACATCACTTTTTCAGGGAAGGTATCCGATATGGTTAAACGCTGACATCTTAGAAGGGCCAATAAACGCTACAACCGTTCCAGTTAACGCTGACCAGTTTCTGCAGGGAGCTTCTGAATTCAATAATACAGTTCTGTCCATTGGTTGGACCACAAATTTTGGAGCAAACATGACTGGTAATTACACAACAGCCCAAATCAGTTCGATGACTACCGTGATAAGGCAAAACAACGTCACTCAGAACATAACGTTCCCGGTGAGGGCAGGACTGGCCGCTGAAAGTTTGTCTGTAATGAGTGCGCTGATCACCAATGTCACCGGTTCGACTTTAACGTTGTGGTCCAGTGAAGGGGATAATGTTAATGTTACTAACCTAAGGAACCTCATAGCTCAAATAGGCGTTAGACGGGTATTTATCGATATCCCAGATGACTTGAGGAATCAATTGAGTCTGGATAATTTGCCTAGCACCCCAGTGGCGCCCGGTGGTGCCAGTTCGTTGATGCCAAAACTTGTTGTAAGCGTTTTGGTTGCTTTGCTGGCTTTTATTTGTAAATAAGTGTAATATAAAGAGACTAGCAGAATATGAATACTTTTCTCGATAGTTTTATATGTATATTTGTACAATAAATTATTATGTAATTTTTCATGTGTGCTTTTATTTTCTTTACGAAACAAAGGGTTAGTAAAAGCAATCCAAGTCTTGAACTATTGAAAAATTTACGAAATTTTATATTCCTCTTATTCAAATGGTAATATCCAAACAATCAATCAATCGCACTGTAACCTAATTTGTTCTTAAAATGTTCTATTTTGATCCACTTTCTATATACGTTATTAAAGGAGATATATTTTTATACACCTGCAAGATTTGATTGTCCGAAAATATGGTATTTCATAACTACAGGCCACCAATTATCAGCAAAGTGGTAAAAGTTAATTTAACCAACGTTATGTTCAGTTCAGTGACTCGTGCCAATATCCTTGGCTGGATATATGACCTCGGATGGAACGGGATCTAACGGGATTATCGCCCTTTACCCACATGTTCAGTGACGAGTCTGGATTTTGTTCATACAGAAATAATAAATGCAAACGCAATATGATATTGTTCGAACTGTTCTGTTTGGTGCAGGCTCTGTCAAGGTGTGGGAGGTATTACCTTAGTGGGTTCCACAATGCTATAACCAGCCAGAAGACCTGATCTGAATCCCATCTGAATAATAATAATAATAATAATAACATATCAATATCCCTATCCCTATCTATTCGCAAGGATTAGCTCAGAAGTCGAAGACTTAATTAATTAGGGAGATGGTCAACTATGATTCAAAGAAAGAAGACCACTAGACCGAAATAGTAAGAGAAATGTGAAAAACTGGAATTATACGATTTTTTAAAATTTATTTCCTACGAAGCAGTAGCTCAATCGAAAGAAAAATTTTTCCTGATTCTATTTTCATTAATATCCAATATAGAAGTTTGTTTGATACATATTTGAATTAGGAAGATTTTACAATACCTTCAAATTCGTTGTACACTAAAATTTGATATTTCTAAACCTCTTATAAGAAAGTAAATACAAAGAGTGGTATGAAAAAGTCGTCATTAACCATAGCTAGAACTTTCTTTATGCCGTTTTTCAGTTAGGTGTCTTTTTTTCCAGAATACAATATGCCAAAGTTACAATTGAAAAGTGGAACTATGTTAGTAAAACTGTTATACATTCAGTTGAAACTTCGCTCATATAACGGCAAAAGTCTTTTATACTTTTGCCTTGAAAGAGATGCTTAAATGAAAAATGGCATAAGGAGAGTTCCCACATAAAATTCTATGGTTAACGACTTAACATACTTTTTTCCCTCTGTATATTATAGAATATTTGTCAGTTCGTGCGGTGTAGTAAGGCAATATTTCTGTTAAAATTAGGCCAGCTGTATTGTTATTACTCAGTTAACAAGTGTATAACGGGTTGCCTAAATGATCGACAAAGAAGAATTTCAATAACAGTCTACTTACTGGGGTACTAGAACAAATTAAAAAAAATACAAGTAATGCCGAGTAACTATGACTCTTAAAAACAAAAAGGTTGTATAGTATTTTGCCGAAACTTTTTCTGAAATCGAATCTGGGACATCACAAAGCAATTTAATGGAATTCAAGCTCTAATTTACTTTTATCAGCAGTTAACTCTTGCAAAAGGAGTTCTTTGAGTTTCAAGTTACTTCATCTTTCTATTCTTGTTGTCTATATCAACTACTGCTTACTGCTATCTCAATTCTCACATTTTGCTCTAATTTCAATAATTGATGCTTGATTTAGATAATTAAAATATTATAACGCAATGTGACTCTCTTATCGACCTTTTTTAAAGAGTGGAAAAGCATCTAAAAGGTATCCATAATGTTTCGTAGAATTATTCAAAAACTCACTAACAGTAATATTTAGGACCACCTCTGAGTAGTTCCTAGGAACAAGGAAGGCTTGCCAAACAAAGTTATAAGTAGGTACGTGACATAAAAATAAAAAAAATAAGTTTTAAATGTTGAACACGTAATCAAACAGCAGCTGTAAGGTTAACAAAAGTTTTAGAACGTGACTAACCAAGAATTCGGCAATGGGTGAATCAGGATCGACGATTTCGAATATCGTATTTCAACACACATTTTGATCTCTTTCTAATCCCATAGTTTTGCATTGTAGTCTCAGTTCCATAGTGGGTGTAATACAAGAGGTTGTAGTATTGGAGGGTTCTAGTAAATTTACTAAATCGAACATCTGTCTTTTGAAAATATGCTGATTGTTAGATGTGCAGAGTTCACCTCATTGTATGCCAGGAATTTTTGTATATAATTATTCCTGTTCAACTGATTTTAATTGAGGAAAATAGTGTAGGTGGAGAAATAATAAGGCCTTAGTTGCATGAATTTAATTAAGTGAGCAAATCGGAGGAAGAGAGTTTAAAAAATTATACAGGGTGTCCTTCAATTGATTGCCAAGTTTCTACAGAGGTTTCCAAGGTTCACGCTTCTGAAAAAAATAAAAGAATAAATAAAGAATTTGCGTGGGAAATAGCTACTCTGTGTTGTGCCTGAAAGCAAAGCTGTAAGAAGAAATTAATCTTCATTTCAATTTAGTGTTAAGTAAAACTACTGCTTAATTACGATTTATGAGAAACTATACAAATCAAAATCAATAAAATCACTCCAGCATATCGTTAATTGTGACCTTCCACAAATATTTACTTAGGTAATAATATCCTCAGGCAGCTAAAATTTTGAATAAGAGATCATTATCGTATTTTGCAATAAATAAAATGAATAAAGAGCATGAAGAATCCCAGTAGGATTAACGTATTCAAAATATGCTGCTAATTGCGTCTTTTGTGAACTATTTTGTTCAGAGATTAGTTAATTTGTACGTACTTGAATATACAAATTAATAGATTACATAAGACCTCATGAAAACTGTTTAGAAATTTTGTATCCATTAGTCAACAAAATTTGGAAAACATAAACAAAAATTTTGCCGATAATTGCATATACTTAATACATATTGAGACATGTTAGATAACCAACTGGCATGGTCTGGTAAAGAAAAATTGAAAAATTCTCCCTTCCAAGATAAGATTGTAGTTGTTAGAGTATTGCTAGGAAATGCTTTTTATTAAAGTTCAAGTCACCTTGTATGAAAATTGTATATCAAAATCTATAAAAGAAGATTAATGTACAATTGAAACCTTTCAAATACTTCTTAATTTTTCTTAATCGATCAAATTTTACATAGTATGTAAGTTCTGTTCATTAATTATTATTTAAAAGCTGCTAAAAATAAAAATTCCTCAGAATAATATACTAAAAAATCAAGGCTAACATGATTAGTTCCGAAATATTTGAGAAAAACCGAAATTTTGGAAATCCGTTTTTGTTTCATTTCAGCCTTGTTTGAGGTGATATTGAAAAAAGAAGAATACTTTCTCGTGGCCACTTTTTCCCTCTATCGAATGGCACAATAAATTTTTATATGTAACGTTTCATCTCTCTAGAACAATCATCAACTTAATTTTTCTAATTACGACCCTGGAAATTTTATTACATTTTTTGCAAGCCATCATGACTCCCAATACTGTACTGCCTCAGCCCGAACCAGAAGTGTCGTAAGACCTTGTGAAATCCGTCTAGTTTAAACTATTACCACCACGCATTAAAATAAAACATTATTAGAGTCTTACTAGCTGACCCGGCAAACGTTGTGTTGCCATCTTGTGGAACTGTGGGTGGAACAAAATAATATAAAAATCGCGATTAAAAATCAGGGGTTGATCGTATAAGGGTGAAAATTTAGAACTGTATGTATTTTTCAATGCTGAATCATGAAAAAATAAAAACAGAAAATTTTGTCCAAAAAATAAAAAAAAAATTTTGGGGTGGACCACCCTTAACATTTAGGGGTATGAAAAATAGATGTTGGCCGATTCTCAGACCTACTCAATATGCTCACAAAATTTCATGAGAATCGGTCAAGCCGTTTCGGAGGAGTACGGGAACGAACATTGTGACACGAGAATTTTATANAGAGGTTTCCAAGGTTCACGCTTCTGAAAAAAATAAAAGAATAAATAAAGAATTTGCGTGGGAAATAGCTACTCTGTGTTGTGCCTGAAAGCAAAGCTGTAAGAAGAAATTAATCTTCATTTCAATTTAGTGTTAAGTAAAACTACTGCTTAATTACGATTTATGAGCAACTATACAAATCAAAATCAATAAAATCACTCCAGCATATCGTTAATTGTGACCTTCCACAAATATTTACTTAGGTAATAATATCCTCAGGCAGCTAAAATTTTGAATAAGAGATCATTATCGTATTTTGCAATAAATAAAATGAATAAAGAGCATGAAGAATTCCAGTAGGATTAACGTAATCAAAATATGCTGCTAATTGCGTATTTTGTGGACCATTTTGTTTAGAGATTAGTTAATTTGTACATACTTGAATATACAAATTAATAGATTACATAAGACCTCATGAAAACTGTTTAGAAATTTTGTATCCATTAGTCAAAAAAATTTTGAAAACAAAAATAAAAATTTTGCTGATAATTGCATATACTTAATACATATTGAGACATGTTAGATAACCAACTGGCATGGTCTGGTAAAGAAAAATTGATAAATTCTCCCTTCGAAGACAAGATTGTAGTTTATGGAGTATATCTAGGAAATGCTTTTTATTAAAGTTCAAGCCACCAAACAAAACGGATTTTCAAAATTTCGTTTTTTTTTAAATATTTCGAAAACTAATCATGTTAGCCTTGATTTTTTAGAGGCATAATGTTGGTCCCCTATTATTCTATTATTTGTGTAAAAAGATAGAAAAATATGTAATTCTTAGTTTGTACTTGTGCATAATAACAAACACATAATTTTGTCAAAATATCAAATTCTTTAGGTGAAAATTTTGTGTCACATCCAATTTTCATATTTTCGAAAACAAAACAGTAAATTAAGTATAAATTTACACTGTTCACTGTTCATCAATAAATAATTTCAGCAACTAGGTAATAAATAAAGATAAATATTTGAAATAGAAAAATTTTTTACTTATTTTACTGTGAAACATTTTGATTCTCGGAACTCACAAGCATAATATTTGAAAACTGAAGTTTAATACCATACAGATCAAAAACAAATACACGTCAGTTCATTGAGTCAAAAGCTGACTAAGAAGGGGTGAACATTTTACAGCATTTTTTTTTTCTAGTGATGATCTAAGGGAGTTAAGTTATTAGGTCTTGGAATTGGTCCAAAATGTTTTATTTTGATCCCAAGACAGATCTTTAGGAATACGATTAAGTTCCCTTGAATTTTCTGGGAACCTTGTATATCTTCATACACAGCCAATAACTGAAGAAGGTGAAATCATTCCAACGAAACGTCAGGTAATCTTGAGAGACCAGTACGCACTTATGGAATCTCCGCCTATGCTAGTCATTATCATCAAGAAAGACACATATCTAGTATGGAGACTCAAGCATGTCAAATGTCATGAAGATCCGATAATCCTCGACGCGATTACATACCGGTCAGTTGGATTGTGCCTGGGGAAACAGAATCATATTTTTGTTCATGTTACTCATCGTATCAGGATGCATATTATTTATAAACATTACTGCCTGCATATTCCTAAAGGCATATCTATTTCTTCAGATAAGACTGGTTTATAAATAGGGTGCGAATCAGACAGACTACTTTAATGACTTCAGATCGAGTTTTTTAAGGTCTGATTTAATAATATGCCAAAGCAAAAATGTGGTTCACTCAGTAAATGATCACTTCCCATTTATTATTATATTTTTACCCCTTGCTTAAGCAGTACATAAATAGAGATAAAACATTTATAATAATATACATAGTGGAACTAAATTGTGTCCCGATATTTTCAGGAGAGATCGCTAAGAAATAAGTACACCCTTATATACGAGTATAAACTTTTTTTTCGAAATTAATAAGGGATATACATATTTTAAGAGAAGGTTAATATAATAATTTTTACTTTGTGTTAAAAATCTTTCAAGATAGTTTATTTTTTTAATCTTTATTTTTAGATTATTATTAAGAAAAAAAAGGTGCTCTTGTTTAATATTGATATATCGCACAGTTTTCAAGAAATCCCGATTTGCAATGAATATCGGTTTCTCCATTATTAGAGTTTGATGTATCTGTCATCAATTTCAAAAACGATGAAAATCACTTTTATTTAATGAGTATATATTTTACAATTGGCTTTAAATTTATTATCATGAGTTCTAGTCGGAACTCCTTAAGAATTGGTTCTATTGCAAGGTATACCGTAACATTTGATGTTTTAATTATCTTGGATCTTTTACAGCTTTGTAAAAACCGTAACGAGAATCAGTCTTAACAGTTTATCATTTTTTGGGCGACTGCCAAAATAGAAAAGACTCGAAAAAGTTTTTTTGAAGTATATTAACAAAATGTTGTTAATAGGAAAGCATGGGCCCATGTATTTAGAAACTCTTTATAGTTTTCTATACTACATCTAGAGTTCTCAGGAAGCAAAATTTTACTTCTACAAACTTCCTATTAAATAAAAAATTAATAAACTTGATAGCTATTGCATAATTTATCGAGATAGAAGACATCAGAGCAATGCGATCATACAGATGAGATTTAAATAATAATAATAAAATCCATCTTGTTCATGTTACACAGCAAGTATTCTTCGTGTAAATTCTCCAAATGAATGATGAATAGTGCGTAGTCTCGACTGTTACGCCATAGAACGTTGCTCGAACCCGCTTGCATATTTTTAGGTCCTGTTGTTTTGTGTATAAGACTTTTAAAGCGGCCCCAAAAGAAAAAATTCTTCACCGTTAGGTTGCGAGACCGTGTTGGCCATTTGGCCTTCTTCCAACCCATTTACGCTGTTCAAACATTTCATCTAGTCTCTGCAGTATGTTCAAACTAAATTGGGGTGGGCCCTATATTATTTATTTCAAAAACAGTTTTATTCTTTAGAGAAATATGATATAGGGATACATTAGAAATATTTCAGTGATAGTCGGTTACAGAATTACCTTCCACTTCCTTAACCTTAGCTGGGAGTCTTTGGCCTGCACTCGATGTTCTCGGGCTAGGGTAGGTGGGGGTGGACTCGGCTGTGGGGGCGGAGTGGTATCACTAGAAAATATAGACGTTAAAACTACACTTGTAAGTAACGTAAAAGCATATTTTAGTAAAGTTGTTTAAACCAAAGCATTGGTGGATTTTCAAGAGAATAACGATGTAAAACAGCTGAGGAATTTTTCATCAACAGCGGGACTTGGTCACTGGATTTGGTCCGTAGAAAGCTGTAGTTCAAAGACTTCAATGTAGATCAAAGTGCTGGATACAGAAAAAGCTAGCAATTCAAAGAATTCGTAATATAGTTAAACAGTCACACATTGCAAGTTTTATTTTAACTTTTAACATTCCTTAAATACTTAAAAAAATAAATATAGCACTACATCTCATACGAATAAACCTTCTCATCGATTTTTTTCTTCTGTTCCTTAGTAGCTAAATCTATTTTCACTTCATTACTGTTTGCTTAAAATACTGTAGAAAAATTATACTTAAATCGATATAACAGATAACCTTTCATCTTGCTCAGAGTAACTAATTAAAAATATTTATATAAATTCTATAGAAGTGTACCGAAGTGTGATAAGCTACCATGGAAATGGGGAATAACGCTAACTTTAGATTCTTGTGTTGTTAGATACTACTTACAGGTATATTTTTGCGGGAAAGTGGATAAATACTAAAAACAATCATTCCATATGTGTATTCTTAAATCTGTTCTAAGGGCCTTACCATACTTAAAGATTCAACGCGATCAACTACTCTAACCTTGAAGATATACACTTCAAATTTGTTATAGCTGTTTTACATTGATAATATATTCATGAATATATTGACGAAGTTCTTCATAAATTCATTCACGAATTTATTGGTAAACAGTGTGGTTTTATACTGCTACATACTTTGTCAAGTTTTTTGACGTATGAATCAGTAAAACCACACTGTTTACCAATAAATTCGTGAATTAATTCATGAAGTACTTCGTCAATTTATTCATCAATAAATTGTCAATGTAAAAGCTATTAGAACATGCTCTAATTCGTCAAGAACGTGATGAATAAATTCATGAAGTTATTTGACAGCAGATTTGGTGCATTACACTTGTCCAATTTCTTGATGAAGCGACTTCATGAATTAATTGATCAATAAATTCTCAATGTAGAACAGCTATTACAGTTTTGTTTCCTCATAATAATTACCAAAGTGTAGAATTTGACCAAAATCTAACCAGTGGCGATTCTGAGATGTCTCAACTATAAAAAAAGTTATTTGATGTCGGCGAGAATTTTATTTTATAGATTTGCAAGTAAAATTTTTGAACGCGTCAGCATTGAGTCACAAATAAACATCAATTATTTTGCACTAATGTTTCAATAATTATCGGATGGAAAGACTGACTATCTATCCGACTATCTTTCCATAATAGACTACTTACATTAAATATCTCTAACATATGAACAACGGATAAAACTTTTAGGAACAATAGAAACATCATCTTCGGCATTTTAAAAATTTTCTGTCAGGACAAGACATTCCTCACCATTTCAGACATCTAATCTACGTTCAATCAATGAAAACCGCAAGAATAGCGCTGTGGGTGAGTTTTTGATAATGGGACAATACGGTAAAGGTAGGCATTCCCTATTGTGTCCGTAAATGTCGAAATTTGAGACACCAGACGGGAGAAATGCGAGATGAATGGACCACGATGTTGTGCTGCTTCAACAAATAACAGGCACCACAGACTCAGTCTAACTGAAACCGCGACGAGTTGAGCAGCGCAAGCTGTCTGGGATATCGCTGATAGCACGCGACCACGAGTGACGATTTCGAGAGGGTTTCAAAAAATGACAGTCGGTGATGTGTGATGCCTGTGACGGAGATGTGGTGTAGGTGGGTGTTATTCGGGATTTTCGAGATGGAAAAGTTCTTGTTTCTCGGTGTATTTTTTTTTACTTTGATCTCTGCTAGGAGATTCCTGCAATTGTAAGATCTTTAAAATTTAGTTCTACCGAAAATGTACAGTCAATTATTACTCTTAGAATCACATGCAAAAATTAAATATCAAATTTTATGACAGTAAATAGAAAAAAAACATTAAAATGTGTTTGTTTAGAAATTTATATTTATCAGAAGAATTAATTTTTATTTTTTTTTATATTCTTGGAAAATACATCTATACTATGAAATAAAAAAGGTACATTTACTTTACTCTAGAAAATCCAATTAGTATTGGTTGAAATTATATTTTAAACAGTTCTTTAGTTATTTAAATAAAATCTATGATGAAATTTTATAATTTTGAATGTGTTACCTATAAAGTCAAATTAATTAAAAGCGCAATGTACAATTTACAACATTTATCATAATTTTGGTAGGCAGGTAGATAAACCGTTTTAAAATTTTGAAAGACGATATTTTTCCTTTCTTTAAGTTTAACTTATTTTCAAATGTAACTTACGCAGAATGGCACAATTTTTAGTTTATATTAAATACTATTTTGGAGCAAACAATTTTTTCTAATACATATTAGTACCTACAAGTGCAATTAGCTCATAAAGTTGATTGAATATCGAAAAAAAGTATCGCAAATTAATAAAAACAAGGAATGTTGACACTTTTACTAGCTTTGGTTTTTCACACGTGACAAAGAAAGTGATATAAAACATCGAGAAACTTTTTATGGAGCTTAGACTAAAGTCAAAAGTACCCAGCGACCATTGAAATTAAAAAGTCGTGCTTCCAATACCGCGATAGAGATTAACAGAAGGCGGTCCCTGTATCTAAACCGCCAACAAAAGAACTGGTCATGTCAAAATGTTTTAAATTCTAGAAAAAATATATTTATAGCAGCTTTTGTAAAATAATTAAAATAAACATTTGCTTTTGGGTCACTCTTTCAATGAATATTATCTAAACTAACAGGGTAAATACACTCGGTATTGAAAAACAAATCGCTTTAACTAACAGTCGAGTTTTGGTAACCTCTTTAGATCTGTCAGAAAAAATATTTGAACTGCAAGAGGAAATATTTTTTTAAACAATGTTCTCTTTTGTAAATGCGTTGGCGTGACATATTTGGTTTACTTCCGACAAATTCATAAACACTCGCATAAAGTAACTGAAACCCAAGACTATTTTTACCTCATAATGAAAATATAACGCTTTTATACAATGGTTTTTGTACAATCGTAGTTAATATCACTTTAAAGAAAGAAAAGTTTGTATAAACGTAATATCCTTGAGTAACGGCCGGGCCAGTTTTAAATTTTGTTGAGACTGAAAAATATGTCAATATTTGCAAAATGAAAAATAAGTAAATAAAACAATTTACCAAAAAAACTGTATAAATTCGAAGCTTTCTGTATTTTCGTTTCTTCAGGACGTTATTCTTATTTTGTTAAACTTGAGAACACTTTTTACCCTGAAAATCTCGTATCTGTATTTTGCAATCAATCGTGTTATTTGTAGACAAAATTTTTTGACATTTATCTTTACAATGATATTTCAATTAATTGATTTATAATTTTAGTGACAATTGTGGAAATGTTATTACCAAATCTCACACGTAATAAATTATTTCAGGAATGTTTTTTCTTGTTCAAGGATGTATTTAAAAAATTATATTTGTGGCCTTGAAAAAAATTCAGGACATGATTTTTTAGCAGTTAAGCTCACAACAAACAAATATTATGTCCATGTTTTATCACTTTTATATTCTTATCATTCTGGTGAGCATCAATATGCATGCTTCAAAGGTTTCTCATTGCTCAGTTTTCAAATTCTATCTGGTGTTCCTCAGGAATCAGTCCTGGGTCCATTGTTAGTCAATATTTTCATTAATAATCTAATTAAATGTTGTACCCCACCTTCTATATGTTGATGATATAAAAACCTAGTTAAACGCAATCATCAATTTAATTTCAGAATATTTTTTTACTTTAGTACAGTATAAATAACATATTTACCTTATAGTTAAAGTCTTCTAAAATTAATGTGGCACCTTTCTACGTGTTGAAAATTAAGAAAGTACCTATTCCTAACGTAAGTCTGTTTGTAGATATAATTTATTTGTTTGCCACATGTTCTAATTTTGCCAATGTATTATTTAAGTGACTTTTGTTCTATTTTTTTTATAGTTGAAAAATTTTTCTATTATCTTCTCTCTAATTTGGTCTTTCTATTTTGGAAAACTTAAACATCATACTTATATGTCGAACCCTGAATCACAATTATATTTTGATACTTGTTTTCCCTTGGTTGAAGCAATGTTTTTAATTATTCGTATAAATCAAAATTGTGGGTGGACTCGCGTACACGTTTCTTAATGTAATATATTACATTTTGATAAGAATGTAGACTCCAAGATATGACCCATAAATTTGTCTGTAACATGGTTCTGGTAAAGTATTTATCACACTATTTGGTTCAGTATTAATTTCAGTACTTCCCAGTTTAAAGATTTATATTTTAAAAATATCACTTTACTGCTGATCTTAATAGATTAATAATATTCTATGGAATGAGATACTGATGCATGAAGAAAGTTTCATCAACTTAGTTGCAAACATTTAAGAAATCATTATAACTATTTAATTTTTAAATTAATCAATCTATCACTTTCCTTTTGAATAATGAAATGATTAGTGATGAAATCTAAAGGCAATTACAGCTACAACTGCTGCCAATATAATATAGTTTAGTCATTTATTTACATGAAACAAACATTGCATAACCATGCATACATGTTGATATTTAATTTTTAATTGTTGTTATTAATTAAGTTAAAGTGTTGGAAACTGCTTGGCGAAATAGTTTAGTTTTATTCAGATAAATTCTTTACATGTAATCGCTAAAAATGAATTTTATTGAATTTACCTAATTGACAATGACTTTTTCTTGTACAGAGTGTTTTAGTAAAAATCCTATACCTAAGTATTTCACGAAGCTTCAAAATATTTTTAAACTCAATATTGATCTCTGTATTTCTAATTTTCAATAGATTTCACACTTTATAATAATTACCTAACAGTAATAGTATAAAATTGGACATGATTTTTCTTATATAATATAAAAAATAAATTTTTCTAAGTAAAATTTATAAAAAAAAATTCACAAGAAAAATTAAGAAGGTTAGGAAGTAATTACCAATGTGTTAAAATGATGTGATAGAATTGAATATGTATACAGAGTATTCTAAAAAACACTAGCATAAATTCAGGGCCTGATAGAATTTCAAAAGATATTACAATTTGTTGCTATGAACCATGGACATATCTTTTTCCGTTTTCAAGATACAGCGCGTTGAAAATAATTTTTTAGAATCTAGTTTCGGTCTTATCTTCCACAAAATTCGACCGAATCAACTGAAATTTTGTTATGTGGGGTTTTTGCGAATGCTAAATGCTCATTCAGTTCAACAAATTGTAATATTTTTTGAAATTCTAACAGGCCCTGAATTTATGTAATGTTTTTCAGAACACGCCGTATAAAGACAAAATTACAGTAAATGAAATTTTGAAACTCCCTGTGAAATGAATTCTGTGTAGCATGGCTTTAAAAGCCAGGCTTTATGCTTTATCCGTTCGCGAGGTACAGAACAGTGTGCAGTAATAATTAAAATAAACATTAATTTATTCGCATGAAACCAGTTCTCTGAATCCCCATGGTATTTGTTTAGTTCAGTGTCGCAAATTAGAGGTTAAATATTAAATATGCCACTGATATATATGCGCTAAAAGCGCCATTCTCGGAAATTCTGTATTTATGCCAATCGCACATGTACTGGCAAGGCACCAAAAATTGTTGAAATTTATTGCTTTAATATTACCGCAGCGTTATTAACGGAGTGCATTGATATCGACATTTGCGAAATGGAGCTTTAAATGTAATTGAAAAATTCATTTTTCATTGTATGGCTCATATCGGGGTTTTTATGGCGTGTCATAAAAATTTAAAATTTATTTTATCGGGCTTTTATCTGTTAGGCATTAAATATTTTCCATAAAATTTTGGAAAAGAGAACTGAGATATTTAAAAAAGTTTCAAGTAAGCGGTTGTGAAATTATGAGGATTTGAAAAAAGAATAATAAAATTTTCAAAAGATGTAACTCAATTCTCTCAATTGACATCCTAACCTAAAAGTGCCAAAATCACGATTTTTTGGCATTTTGAGGTTATGTTACATGGATAGGTAATTGTTTTTTTTAAAACCATTAATGGGGTCTCAAAAAACTATACTTACTTTTTAAAACGTACTTGGATTTATAGGCCAACCAGTGCAGTAGAGCGAAAAAAACAAGCTGTTATTACACTTAAATATTACAGCAAATTTCATGTATTTCCTTTTGAAAAATGCTTAGTAAACGAAAACCCTAGTGATTTCCCTACAAAGTCGTGAACAATTCTTTTTAAACAATAAAAACTGCAAAAAAAAATACATTTTCTTTTGTTTTTTTTATAATATCTCGAATTAATAATCGTCTTACTCTCAATAGAACTTTTGTAGAGAATAAAAAACCCATAAAATGGTTTTTATGCGACCCGACCGGTTCATTTTATACAGAGAAAATCTACAAAAGCCTCTAAAATAGACCTTTTTTCAAAAATTCATAACCATCAAATTTGAAGCTGCAAAAACAATCTGACGGAAAGTGACAGATAATAATATGCAGTTTAATCATGCGCAAGATGGTTTCTGTCCGACACATAGTTTTCGCACAATTGCATTATAAACAAATTAGGGTATTTTTTGCACAGAGTGGCGATTTATCAAAAAGGGTCCGATTTAAATTCTGAAAACGGCATCCGAAAGTAGACGACAAAATCTCCAATTTGTATGTCTCGGATTTTCGTGTGGATGATGGGAAATATGCTAAAAATGCCCTTGAAACGATCCAAAGTACGCTTACTTATTTTATATGCGGTAGAAAAATATCCAATTTTAAAAATAGTTGTAAAGACTAGAGCTAGCCAGATAAATTTCT